CCGCGTTGCACCCGCGATTCTCACCTCACCTCCCCTCCTCCTCCTTCTCCTTCTCACACAGCGCAGCACAGGTCAGTACAGCACAGCTCAGCTCAGCGAAGCACAGCTCAGCACAGCACTGCACAGCACAGCGTAGCACCTCAGCACAGCTCAGCTCAGCACATCACAGCACAGCACGACGGTCGTCCAGGGCACAGCAGGCGTGGGGTTTTGTCGACACCATAGGGGGTGCGCAGGGGGTGGTCCCTGAGCGCGGCCGCTATCAGTGACGGTCGTCCAGGGCACGGCAGGCGTGGCGTTTTCTCGACACCACAGGGGGTGCGCATGGGGTGGTCCCTGAGCGCGGCCGCTATCCGTGACGGTCGTCCAGGGTACAGCAGGCGTGGCGTTTTCTCGACACCGCGGAGGGTGCGCACGGGGTGGCCCCTGAGGCGGGCCTTATCCGTGACGGTCGTCCAGGGCACGGCAGGCGTGGCGTTTTCTCGACACCACAGGGGGTGCGCATGGGGTGGTCCCTGAGCGCGGCCGCTATCCGTGACGGTCGTCCAGGGTACAGCAGGCGTGGCGTTTTCTCGACACCGCGGAGGGTGCGCACGGGGTGGCCCCTGAGGCGGGCCTTATCCGTGACGGTCGTCCAGGGCACGGCAGGCGTGGCGTTTTCTCGACACCACAGGGGGTGCGCACGGGGTGGTCCCTGAGCGCGGCCGCTCTCCGTGACGGTCGTCCTTGCCCTAGCAGGCGTGGCGTTTTCTCGACACCACTGGGGGTGCGCACGGGGTGGTCCCTGAGCGCGGCCGCTATCCGTGACGGTTGTCCTTGCGGTATCGGCGGGGCAACGGCCACCAACAACATTCTCACATGCTTCATTTCAGCTATCATCACCCCAGCCATAACATGAGTATGTGGGTTTCCTCGCTAGCGTAATTTTCATTTGTCGTACAAAATCCCCCTGTAGGGGGACATGCCCGACCTAAAGTTATCCAGCTGCCTCCGGCAATTCCGCCACCGTGCCAGCGCAGCATGCTGGGCGGCAACTGCTCGAGAAGACAAGGGGGCCTGCTGGGGACCTCCTGGGACAGAAGCCTTGGATTCTTGGTTCGTATTCTTGCGGGGCTGTTTTTGGGCCCTCTTGGGCAGTCTCGGGCGCCGTTTAAACAAATTACCAGAGTTTCACGGATTGAGGGCGGTTCCTTTTCAACATGTGGCTCTCGTCTTAGCGCCGCGCACATTCGTTTTTGTTGTTGTTGTTGTTTCCCCCCCCCCCTCTCTCTCTATATATATATATAACAAAAAATACGCAAGGGCTTCGCGGATTGAGGGCGGTTCCTTTTCAAATTGTTTCTTTCGCCTGAGCGTCGCGCACATTCGTCTTTAATATTTGCAAGAGCTTCACGAACTCCCATAGTCAGCGTACCAGAAATGGTGTTTGGGAAAGATTCAGGATTATGCGGGCGCAACAGTTACGTTGATTCGCGGTGGTGAGGTCCCAGAAATGGCGTTCTGGCACGAGTCAGGGCCGTCAAGACTCAAAAGTTTGGTTGATCCGTGGCGTTGGAATCCCGAGAACAATGCTTTGGCATGCTTCAGAGTCTTCAAACGGTTGTCTTCCGACGAGGTAATTCCCTCAGAGTGGACATGAACCGTTGCAGGGGCCTATGAAGAGAGCTTGGAGGGAGGGTTTACTCCAACATCGTTGATGACTCTTGGGTTTGCACTGATCCTCCTCCTCTTCCTCCTCCTCCTCCTCCTCCCCTCTCCTCTCTCGCCCTCCTGCTTATTTGTCATCTGTCCCCCTGCTCTCCCCACAACTTCCACAGGCTCTATTTGTCCCACGCGTTCCACAGGTTCCACCGGTCCCACAAGGCCCACGGGTCTCGCAGGTCTCGCAGGAACGATGACGACGACGGCGGCGGCGACGACTTTAGCGGAGACCTGTGCGGTGGCCGCCGCAGGGGAATAGTTATTTGCCAAGCATTGTTGGGGTCCCAATCCGTCAATACGCCCGCGGGAGAATTATTTAGTTTCCCATTATTGCCCAGGGTGTGTTAAACACCCTTCGCGGTTAAGGAGCTCAACCTAAGGCCCAAGTGGCAGGGTCCCCATGTGGGCGTCACCACCGTTTCAGCACACTCCTCCAACGTTTCGTGGCCCCACAGGGAGCTCCCACACTTTGCGTGGCTCCATAGCGAGCTCCGTTTCGGCTCATCCCTCGCGCGCATCGTGGCACCGTAGGGAGCTCCTTCAAAAGCCGAACCCACACCGCGGTATTCACAGATGCATATGGTCAGGCCCTCTGTCAGGATGGTTCGCGCGGTCCCCAGGCGCTGCCACGTGATGAGTCGAGTTGAGCAGTATCTGCTTCCGTCCCTGTGCGTTGTCACGTGATGTGTAGAATCGTGTAGTCGATTTTCTGCCCCGAGGCAGTTGCATGTGACACGCCAAGTGGAATAGCATGTTTTTCTGCCCCAGGCGCTTCCACGCGACGAGTTGAGTGCAACAGTACTTGTTTTCCTCACCTGGGGCGTTGCCGCGTGACGGGCAAGAGTGGAATGCCATTTTTGTTCCGCCCCCAGGTGTCGCCGCGAAACGAGTAAATTTGAATCGTATTCTTTCAGCACCCGGCGATGCCACGTGTCGGGCGGGCGTGCCCGCGGGCGGGCGTCGCCGTCGTCGCCGTCTTCCGTCGTCGTCGTCGTCGTCGTTGTTTGTTGTTGTCGTCGTCGTCGATATCGTCGTGCTCGTCGTCGTGGTCGTCGTCGTTGCCGTCGGAACGATATGTGGCACCGTCGTCGTCGTCGTCGTCGTCGTCGTCGTCGTCGCCCTTTGTTCTCGTCGTCGTCGCCGTCGTTGTCGTCGTGATCGTCGTCGTCGTCGTCGTCGTCGTTGTTTGTTGTTGTCGCCGTCGTCGATATCGTCGTGCTCGTCGTCGTGGTCGTCGTCGTTGCCGTCGGAACGATATGTGGCACCGTCGTCGTCGTCGTCGTCGTCGCCCTTTGTTCTCGTCGTCGTTGTCGTTGTCGTCGTGATCGTCGTCGTCGTCGTCGTCGTCGTCGTCGTCGTGATCGTCGTTGTCGTTGTCTTCGTCGTCGTCGCCGTCCTTGTCGTCGTCGTCGTCGTCGTCGTCGTCGTTGTCGGCGTCGTTGTCGTCGTCGTCGTCGTCGTCGTAGTCGTCGTCGGCGTCGCTCGGGAATCTGTTACCCGTGACCTGGGTCTTCCCGAAGGCATGTTCTTTGATGGAGATGTGCATGTGTTTTCGTCTCGCTGCGTTGCCATGCGGCGAGTAGAATGACATATTTTGTTTTCGGCTTTGAGGCCTTGCCACGTGGCGAGTAAAGTGGAATCGTATTTTCTCACCGCTGAGGCGATGCTACGCGGCGAGTAAGAGCGGAATGATATTCTTGACTGCCCGCCCCTCCCCAGCACTGCCACGTCATGCGCAGAGTGGAATAGTTTTCTTATCGCCCCCACCTGGCGTTGCCACGTGGCTGGTAGAGTGGGATCGCAGTATGTTTCGCCCCCCAGGAATTGCTACGTTGCGAGCCGATTGGAACAGTTGTTTTCCCGCCCGCCCGACAATGCCACGTGGCAGGTGCAGTGGAGCAGTATGTTTCCCGCCACGCAGCGTTGCTCGTTCTTCGCCCTTCCAGGCGTGTTGGCTCGTGGCGAGCGGCGAGTCATGTGGAGTTGTTTTTTCTGCCCCCAGGAGTTGCCACGTGACGAGTTGAGCGGAATAGTATTTGTTGCCGTCCCTCTGCGTTGCCACGAGGCGTCTAGAGCAGCATCGTGTTCTTGTTTGATCCCGCGCCAGGCGTTCGTGCGTGCGCGGTTTAGCCGTCGCGGCCCCGCGCTCCCGGCAGACAGGGGGCTTTCCTGTTCGTCGCCGCCGCTTTCGTTGTCGCCGTGCTGCTGCTGCTCCAGTATCCGTCGTTCATGTGCTTCTGTTTCCCAATCAGTGCTTGCACATGGTTCCCCGAAGGAATTGGATGGGGCCATCGAGGTTGCGCCGCGTCGCCGCCCGTTGTAACCTCGTGGCCGCGTCGTTGCAGCGGTCTTGGGGGGTTCGTGGATGTTTCGCTGCGTCGCTGCCCGTTGCCGCCTCGTTGCCGCCTCTTTCGTGCCCGCTTAAAAGGGGTCCGTGGAGGTTTCGCCGCGTCGCCGCTCATTATCGCTTCGTTGTCTCCGGGAGAACTTGTCTGGAAGAAATGGCCCCGGCGAAGTCGTCTCGGAATAATTTGTCCGGAATAAGTTGTCAGGAAGAACCGTCTGTTAGAATTTGTCCGGAAGAACCGTTTCGGAATAAGCCATTTGGAAGAGTTTGTCCGGAAGACTTTGTCCGAAATCGTCTCGGAGAAAATCGCCCGCCAGAATTGGTCCAGAAGGACTGGTCAGACGAAGTCGTCGCGGAAGAGGTCGCAAAGATGTTCTCTGCATCCAGGCCGAACGGAATCTCTGGAAGAAGTCGACAATAAAACACTGTCTGGGAAAATGTATCCGGAAGAGCTCGTTCGGATGAAGGGCTTCGGATGAAGGTGTCTTCGGATGCATTCGTCTGGAAGAAATTGTCCGAACGAATTCGTTGGGATAACTCGTCGCGGATGTATTCGTCGGGCTGAGGGTGGTTTCGGAGGAAGCGGTAGGCTGTCAGAGGTGGCGACGCGCGCCCCTGGGCGATGGCAGAGGTGTGGGGGGCAGAAGCCCGACCAGACCGACCTGGGCTTCAGTCGGGCCTGTCCCTCCACAGGAGGAATATTCCAAGATAGTGAAAAAAACAGTCTGGTGACAATTTTTGATTTTTTTTGAAAATCCTTCTTGCACATGTTTGGGGTGTTTCTGATTTTTCGTCGACACTTCGCCTGTGGGGGGACATGCCCGACCTGGACCCTGGGCAGGCTTCCGCGCCTCGGCGTGCGCACGGCACGGTGGCACACCTCGCCTCGCTGGGCCGCCCCCCCGCCCCTCCTCGCCCCGCCCCCCCCTCTCGCCGCGCCGCCCTCCCCGAGGACGGAGAGGAGGAGGCCGAGGGCCGCGCCGAGCGCCGGGCGCTCGGGGCCGCTGCGCTGCTCTGGCCCCCCTCGGCCCTGCTTTTACGTCGGGCCTGTCCCTCTACAGGAGGCAAGGTCCGAAGTAGGTACAAAAATAGTCCGGGGACGTTTTTTCTACCATGTTTGACTATTTTTGAATATTTTTTTGGGGGGGCATTTTTGTATTTTTCTTTCAACATCCGCCTGTAGGAGGACGTGCCCGACCTGACCCTGCTTCCTCGGAGCAGCCAGGGGAGCGAAGGGCTCGCGGCGTCGCGGCGCTGCTTCCCCCCCCCCTTCCCCTCGACGGTTCAAAGACGGGGTCCTGAGGGATGGGGTCCTGAGGACGAGGTGCCCCACAGACTGCAAGTCCACCCCTGGCCCACTGCCGTGGGCTATCAACCCGTTTCGCTCTCCCCGTCCTGCTCCTGCTGCTGCTGCTCCGCCTGCCCCACCTACTTTGGGTTCCTTGATATGCGTGGGGGGGTACCCCCCCCGACGGGGGTCAACCTCGCCTCGTCGTCGCGCGGCGACGGGGGTCGGAGCGCCTTCGGCGCGCGGTGGCTGCCCGCGACGGGAGTCGATGTGGGGCCGTCGGCGGGGGTGACGCCCCCCCGACGCTCAGCAAGAAACTCGGAGTAGTCCTGCACCCCCATCCTTGGCCTCGGGCTCCAGCAGTGGGTCTGCGTGGCTCTGCGCGGGTCCCCCGACGGGCGAAGTCGTCACAACCTGTCAGCTTCTCGTGCGTTCTCGGTGCCCCGCACGTCTCAGCTCAGTGTGGCCCCGAGGAGGGCCCACATGATCTCCGAGAGGCCCACAGGAGCGCCCGAAAGGGCCCGAGACGCCCCAGAGGTGGCCCACGGTGGCTGCCATTACGGCCCCGAGCCTTCTCAGAGGCGGTCCGAGGCAGCACCAAAACGGCCCCGACGTCCTTCCAGACTGGCCCAGGCCGCCCCCAAAGGGCCCACGCACGAGCCCCAAAGGAACCCGATGATGGCCCTAAGATTTAAGTCGGGCCTGTCCCTCTGCAGGAGGAATATTCAGAGATAGTTGAAACATCGTATGGGGACGATTTTTTGAAAACTATTTTGAGCATGTTTGGAATACTTTTTGGGTACTTAGGATTTTTCGCCCGAAATCCCCCTGTAGGGGGACAGGCCCGACCTAACCCTAAGAGGGCCCCTGAGGTAGCCTCGAAGCGCCAGAAACGACACATTTTAGAGGGCCTCAAGAGGGCCCAACACGGCAGCCGAAGCCGTCGATCTCGCTCCTTTGCAGGGTGGGGGCGCCTCCTCCCTCCTCTGTCCTCCCTCCTCCTTCCTCCTCCTCCCTCCTCCCTCCCTCCTCCTCCCTCCTCCCTCCTCTTCCTCCTCTTCCTCCTGCTCCTCGTCCTCGTCCTCCTCCTCCTCCTCCTCCTCCTCCTCCTCCTCCTCCTCCTCCTCCTACCCCGCGCTGGCCAGGTGTGACACGGACTATTTCTGCTTATTTCAGTGGCCTTTTCCACCCTGAGCGGCCACACATGTGCCCTACGAGGTCGCCAGTATGGCCAAAGGGGGCTCCAAAAGTCGCCCAGTCTTCTCAAAGACGAGCGGCACCCCCAGATGACTAACAGTCCTCCGGAGGACCCAGCGGGCGCACGAACGCCCCAAGAGGAACAGGTTCCAAGAAAGGCCCCATGCAGCACACGTTGTATACCAACCATGTCGTTTTAAATGACTTCTGTTTCCCATGCTTTTCACCTCAATCTGGGCGTCAGGAGAGATTAATATTGCCCCAATGCAGCCCACGAGCGCCGAAATAAGCTCCCGCAGTGGCCCCGAATGACCCTAATCTTTTCCGAGAGGGCCTCCAGAGAAGCCCGGGACGGGCTTCACATGGGTCCCGAGAAGCCCGAAGAAAACCCCCAATGATCCCAAGATGCTCCCAATACGGCCAAAGAGAGCCCCAAGAGGCGCCCTGTGCCGTCCAACATCTGTTCAGTACGCCCCAACAGAGCCCCGAGCGGCTCCGAAAATAATCCAAGAGGTTTCCGGGTGCTCCCATGAAGCCCAGCAACGGGCCAGGAGGTTCTACAGCCCTCCTCGAAATCAGACGCAAGTTTTTCATGTTGGTCGACGCGCGAAACGCGGCCCACGGGGTCAGATTTTTGTGTTTGCAGTTGCCAATGTCGGCGCTAACATGGGCATTTTGGGGTCCTGGGGCGCAGCCACGTCGCGGGAAGAACTTGCGTTTGATTTCGGGGGGGATGTCGGTCAATTGTGACTCGAGACCTTGCAGCGGCACCGGCAGCAGCGGGGTGGATCAATCGGCAGCGGGGGCGAATCGCTCTCTGTCCCCTGGCCTTCCAAGGCAAGCTCCTCTCTGGCCCGCGTTGTCAGATTGCCCTCTACTATGTGTCACGTCTCTCGTCCCACCCCAGCGCCTCATGAAGATAAGGCCACATCTTGGATGCGACGGATGGTGAGTGTGTGTGTGTGTGTGTGTGCGTGTGCGTGCGTGCGTGCGCGGTGTGTGTGTGTGTGTGTGTGTGTGTGTGTGTGCGTGTGCGTGTGCGTGTGCGTGTGCGCTTGTTTGTGTGTTTGTGTGTTGGGAGCGAATGGGTGCAGTTTTCGTTTTGTGGCGGCCACGCGCCGCCCTTTGCAGTCTCTCCGCTCGCCCGCTCATGAAGCTGCGCGCTGCCGCGCGAAACCGCGGGGCCGCCTGTGGGAGAGGGTCGAGGCTGGCAGAGGGGACGAGGGAGGGCCTGGGGTGGACGCCCCCCCCACCCGAAGCGTGGTGTTTGATATTTTTTGTTGTTGTTTTGTTTTTCTTCCCTGGAGTGTAGATCGCGCATGTTTTTTCCAAACAAGCGGCGGACGCATGTTGTGCTCGATGCGTCGGGATGCCCTCCCGTATTGCACCACAAGAAACGGACATCAAGGCACGCACGCCGCCCCCCATGAATGAGTGACCGCTGCAAGCGCGGTGGCAGATCAAGCCGTTCATTTGGCAAGGTGTTTGGGGCTGTCCCACGACCAGCATGGCCATCTACATGTTTATCTAACTGTCTACCTTTCTCGCCGGTGCACCGAGCTACCCGTATTTCCACGCACGTCCGACCGGCGATCTATGCAGCTATCTGTCTGTTCCCCTCTCGTTCGCCCTCTGCCGCCGCCCTTCTTTAGCTATCAGAGTCGGATGTGTCAAATTCCTGCCGGCGCTACGCAACGCAGTACCTGGACACACCAGAGTTATGTTGGGATGCATGGGCGCCGCTTAAAGCTGTGCGCGTCCCGCTTGGCTTTCAGCGGAAGAGGTTCGCTCTCGCCCCGCAGATCAAAAATGTTTGGTCGCCGCCTTGAAGCCATATAGGCACATCACGTGAGGCCGGGACGAGTGGCGATCAAGAAAGCATGTGCGAGCACTGAAGTTGTTGTTGAGCTCCATGCTGTCTTCTTAAAGCGCTGCCCGAATGTTGTGTATGTGAGGTTTTCTGGAACGACTCGGGGGGCCTCGTGCTCGGTTCAGTGGAGAAGGCCTTCACGTAATATTCTGGCAGGTTTTGTTTCAAGGTGGCGCGCACATGATGCGGTACAGGGCCCCCCTCAATGATATCTTCAACGACTTGGTCAGCTTGAGTGTTGTCCAATCGCGTGGCAGGTGGATGCGTGCCGTGAGCTGCCGCACATACGTGAAGCCCGCGGCTCGTCTTCGTAAGTTTCAACAGCTCTCGGTACTGAACATTGAGCGGGCCAGGCAGCTCCAGAACATCGTGCGTGATACTTTGCTGGCTTATGTCGGCAAGGTCCCGCGCAGGAAGGGCTGGCAACTCGAGGCAAGCGAACGCGCATCTGAGGTTTCGTTGTCTTCAGGTTGATTCCCCTAGAACCTCGCCCCTCAGGCACTTGACGCGTGCAATCGCACCCGCGGCAGACGATTGTGAAAGGAGTGTCGTCTGGGTGGGGGGCTCCTTCTGCAGCCGAGGATTTGTGCATACTTCTTGCGCTATCTCGTGCCTTGAGTCCCCCATAGCCTTCCCGGCACCTCCCGCGCCCCCACTACCGCCCAGTCTGTATTTGTTTGTGTTTCTATTTCGTTTCTCCGTAGATGTTTAGGGGAGGCCCATCCAAGGGGGCCCGTTTTCTTCGAAGTAGCGTCGCCACAGCGTATTTGATGTACTCTGAGTTTTGCAAGGTTTTCCGGGTGAGCAGGGTAGCACCTCGCCCCCTCAGTGACTTGACGCCTGCCATCGCGTCCACGGCATACCATTGTAGAAGCAGCTTCGTCTCGGGGGGAGCGACTCTCCCTACAGCCGAGGATGCACAGATGTGATCAGTCACACGAACAAGCCAGCAAGCGATTGTTCTAATCCAATTGCTGACGATCCGTCGGTCGGGACAACCACGGGCCCCCCAAGGGGTAAGCACCAGACAGCCCCTGGAACACCACGGGACCAACGCGGGGCAACCGCACGGGATAACTGCACTGGTCGACCACCAGAGAAACGCATACGGACCGCGGGACAGCGACATGCACATGACGGGCATGGGGCATCCACGGGGCAATCACGGCACGGCCGTTGGACCACCCTTCTGGCCACTGTCCCCGGCCGGAGCACGAGCCTTCTTTTGCGTCGGGTGGCGGGCGGGCCCTGGCGGGCCAGCGGGGCCCCAAGCCACGGGTGCGGGCGGGACCTTTCAGACGGCTGCGCGGTTTCTCCACAGCGGGCGGGCGGGCCAAGCAGGGCGGGCGGGCCAGGGTTGAGCCGGGCACGTCCCTCGACGGGAGGAATATCCAGAAATAGTCCGACAGCAGTCTGGGGACGGTTTTTGGAGCATTTGCGGCAGGTTTTGATGGATTATCATTAGTTTCTCGTCCAACATCCGCCTGAAGGAGCACGTGCCCGACCTGAGGCCAGGGAGGGAGGGCGGGCTCTGAGGAGGGCGGTGAGAGGGTGGCTTCGGGTGGGCGCCGCAGACCCTCACTAGGCGGGCGGGCGGGAGGCCTCCGAGTAGGGCGGGGCCGAGGGGGGGCAGGCGGGGGGCGGGCGGACCCCCCGCTGCTGGGCGAGCAGGGCGTGCAGGCCCATGACTGGCGGGGCAGCCCGATCCGCTCAAAAAGGCGTGCGGCCGGTTCCCCCCTCCCCCCCCCTCCCCCCCTGGAGGGTTTCCCCGAAGGGCTCAGGCGACCCGTCCTCCTCCTCCTCCTCCTCCTCCATCTCCTCATCCTTCCTCCTCTTCCTCCTCCATCTCCTCATCCTTCCTCCTCTTCCTCCTCCATCGCCTCCTCCCCCTCCCCCTCCACCTCCTCCTTCTCCTCCTCCTCCTCGGGTTGCCTAATTACGGCCCCAGGGGAAACCGTGCCCCCCCCCAACCTCCACCTTCCCACCGCCACCCCATGGGCTCACGTGGGCGAGGCCAGACGCCGGCAAAGCGGGGCGCGGGCAAGGCGGGACGGGGGCACGGCGAGGCGCGGGTCAGGCCGGGCGGGGCCAGGCGGAGCGAGACGCGGGCGAAGCGGGACGGGGGCGCGACGAGGCTTCCCCGGGGAAGGTCCTCCGCCGCAGTGCCTTGCGCGCGCCAGCCGAGGCTCTGGCCTGCACTCCGTCGACCGCAGGGCGGGAGCCGCAGAGGCTGCCGCGCGCCCATCGGTGGCGGCGAGCCGCATCCTCGAGGCGCCCCCCCCCCCTCCCCCTTTCCTCCACCTCCCTCTTTCCTCTCCTCCCTTCTCCCTTCCCCGTCCCCGTCCTCATCCATCCCTCCATCCCTCCTGCCTTCTCTCTCCTTCCTCCTTGGTCAGATTCCTGGAAGCCTGGTTGAACCAAAATGATAACTGAATGACCGAATTGGGCAGCATACGTTTAAGTATAGTCCTCAGTCGTCTGCGTTCCGTTCTGTGTCCTGTGTGTTCCGTCCTTCGTCTTCTGCCCTCCGTCTTCATGCTCCAGCATTTGCTGCCCCTTCTCCGCCCCGCTCGCGACCCAGCGGCCGTGAAGGCGGACAGCGACAGCGGCAGCGAGCACTGGGACGGCAGGCCGCACTGGGCTCGTAGGTAGGGCTCGGGAAGGCCTCTCACGCTGAGCATGGTGTTCTCACTCTCCAGCTGCCCTGCTCCTTCTGCTCTGCTCCTGCTGCCACTCCTGCCGCCGCTGCCGCCCCCCCCCCCGCTCGTGCTCCTACCACTCCCGCTCCCATCCTGATTTCTCGCTCTCTTGCGCCCTGCGTCTGGAGCTCCAGTTTCTCTACTCCACACGAGCGGCACTGCCCAGATCAGAAGCCCAGGGGGAGGAGGAGGAGGAGGAGGAGGAGGAGGAGGAGGAGGAGGAGGAGGAGGAGGAGGAGGAGGAGGAGGAGGAGGAGGAGGAGGAGGAGGAGGAGGAGGAGGAGGAGAAGGAGAAGGAGGAGGAGGAGGTCCCCGGCGCTGGCCAGCCAGTCCCGTTCTCTGCTCCCCAGCATCCCCGCGCCGCCCCCGCCGCGCACGTGCCCCGCCCTTGCCCGCCCCGCAGCCCCACCCTCTCCGCCCCGATCCGTCGATCCCTCTCGCGGGGCGCTGCCCCTTCGCTTTGCCTTTGAGTCGGACCTGTCCCCTCTACAGGAGGAAGATTCAAAAATAGTCAAACAACACTCTGGGGACGATGTTGTGACTATTCCTGAACATTTTTGGAGAATTCTCTTGGAATTTTGAATCTTCGCCCAGAAATCCCCTGTAGGGGGACAGGCCCGACCTAACTTTACCTGCCCCGTTCGTCCCGAGGGTGAACCGCAACTGCACAGTACCAAAGTCGTAAGTGTACAATGTAGGAGTCACTGAAGCAGTGTACAGTGTACAGTGCAGTCATTGAGTATGGCTTATTATGCCTGGCTTCTCTTGCATGGCTTTCGCAACCTGTCTTTTTGTATGGATTGGCGTGTATGACTTATGTTGTATGGCTTATTTTGCGTGGCTTACGTTGTATGGCTTGTTTTGCATGGCGTTAGTTGGCTTTGTGCAGCTTTGTATGGCTCTGTAGGGCTTTGAGTTGCGTTGTATGGCTTATAGCGTATTGCTTGCCCAGGAGTAAATGATAAGCCTAACGCACAAACTCCCAAGTGACTAATTGCAGATGAAGGACTCGGGTTCAGCCGTAAGGCCTGGGCTTCAGTAGTCGGCAACCTATACAACATAAGTTGCTTCAAACTTGTATACATATGCAGGCATATATCTACATCAGAGCAAGAGAGACGAACGGTCATTCAATGTCCCTGGGTGCGTGGCTGAAGTGTGCTTCCGCGGTGCGGATTGTTGTTGTTGTTGCTGTTGTTGTTGTTGCTGCTGCTGTTGTTGTTGTCGTTGTTGTTGTTGTTGTTGATGTTGCTGTTTTTGTTGTTGCTGCGGTTGATGTTGTTTGTTGTTTTAGTCGTAGTAGTAAACGTAGTCGTAGTAGTAGTAGTAGTAGTAGTAGTAGTAGTAGTAGTAGTAGTCGTAGTAGTAGTCGTAGTAGCAGTAGCAGTAATAGTAATCGTAGTCGTAGTAATCGTAGTCGTAGTAGTAGTAGTAGTAGTAGTAGTAGTAGTAGTAGTAGTAGTAGTAGTCGTAGTAGTAGTAGTAGTAGTAGTAGTAGTAGTAGTAGTAGTAGTAGTAGTAGTAGTAGTAGTCGTAGTAGTAGTAGTAGTAGCAGCAGTAAGCAGTAGGAGTTAGTAGGAGTAGGAGTATTAGTCGTAGTCGTAGTCCGTAGTCGTCTTCGTAGTAGTAGTAGTAAGTAGTAGAGTGGTAGTGGGGTAGTAGTAGTATAGTAGTATAGTAAGTAGTAGTACAGCAGCAGAAGCAGCAGCAGCATCAGTAGTAGTATAGTAGTAGTAGTAGTAAGTAGTGTAGTAGTAGTAGTCGTAGTGGTGGTAGTAGTAGTAGTAAGTAGTCGTAGTAGTAGTAGTAGTAGTAGTAGTACTAGTAGTAGTAGTAGTAGTAGTAGTAGTAGTAGTAGTAATAGTAGTAGTAGTAGTATCGGTAGTAGTAGTAGTAGTAGTAGTAGTAGTAGTCGTAGTAGCCGTAGTAGTCGTAGTAGTAGTAGTCGTAGTAGTAGTAGTAGTAGTACTTGTAGTAGTAGTAATTTAAGTCGCAGTAGTAGTTGTAGTAGCAGTAGTGGTAGTAGTCGTATATGTAGTCGTAGTAGTAGAAGTAGTCGTAGTAGCCGTAGTAGTAGTCATAGTCGTAGTAGTAGCAGCAGTAGTAGTAATCGTCGTCGTAGTCGTCGTAGTAGTAGTAGTAGTAGTAGTAGTAGTAGTAGTAGTAGTAGTAGTAGTAGTAGTAGTAGTAGTAGTAATAGTAGTAGGTGTACTAGTAGTAGTAAAAAGGTGGAGTCGTAGTAGTAGTAGTAGTAGTAGTAGTAGTAGCAGTAGTAGTAGTAGTAGTAGTAGTAGTAGTAGTAGTAGTAGTAGTAGTAGTAGTAGTAGTAGTAGTAGTAGTAGTAGAGTGGTAGTGGTAGTGGTAGTGGTGGTGGTAGTAGCAAATACTCAAATGAGAAGATAGTCGTACTAAGTAGTAGTAGTAGTAGTAGTAGTATAAGTCGTAGTAGTAGTAGTAGCCGTAGTAGTAGTTAGTGAGCAGTAGTAGTCTAGTAGCTGTAGTAGTAATCGTAGTTAGTAGTCAGTAGTAGTAGTAGTAGTAGTAGTAGAGTAGTAGTAGTCGTAGTTGTATAGTAGTTTTTTTTAGTAGTAGTCGTAGTAGTCGTGTGGTTCGTAGTACGTAGTATGTAGTAGTAGTATTAGTAGAGTAGAGTAGTAGTAGTGGTAGTGGTAGTGGTAGTGGTGGTGGTAGTAGCAATAGTACAAGTAGTAGTACTAGTCGTCCAGTACTAGTAGTAGTATAGTAGTAGTAGTAGTAGTAGTAGTAGTAGTTGGTAGTAGTAGTTAGTAGTAGTGGTGGTGGTGGTGGTGTGGTAGTAGTGGTGGTAGTAGTAGTAGTAGTAATAGTAGTAGTAGTAGTAGTAGTAGTAGTAGTAGTAGTAGTAGTAGTAGGTAGTAGTAGTAATAGTAGTAGTAGTAGTAGTAGTAGTAGTAGTAGTAGTAGCAGTAGTAGTAGTAGTAGTAGTAGTCGTAGTAGTAGCAGCAGCAGCAGCAGGCAACAGCAGTAGTAGTAATAGTAGTAGTAGTAGTAGTAGTAGTAGTAGTAGTAGTAGTAGTAGTAGTAGTAGTGGTTGTAGTGGTTGAGCTTGTCATTGCTAAGGAATAGTCGAAGACACCTCCGGCGAATCACCGCCGCCCCCTGCCTTTTTGGACGCGCCTATGTGGCCGAACGTTAGGCCAGACCTGCCAAGCTATCGGACCATGTGTTCCCCGAATCGGTTTGGAAAGCTTTCGGGGAACGCTTGGGCATCTTGAAGGTCATCTTGGCCTTTTGGAGACCATTTTGACCCTTTCGAGCCTTCTCGGAGGACGTCTTGGAGGGCTCTTGGGCCGTCTTGGAGGCCACCTTGAGCGTCTTGGAGGCCTCTTGGGCCGTCTTGGGGGCCTCTTGGGGCCGTCTTGGGCCTCGTGGGCGATCTTTGGGGGCACTTGGGCCGTCTCGGGCCATCGGAAGGCCGAAAGCAAATGCCACAATCCTTCAAAAACTCAGGGTAAATCAATGCTTTTGGCCTTTTCGGGCCTTCCTGGAGGCCCTCTTGGAGGCCTCTTGGGCCGTCTTGGGCCATCTTAGGGTCATCTTCGGCCGTCTTGGTGGGCTCCTGGCCGGTCTGACGCCGTCGGAAGCCGTTTGGGGGGCCTCTCTGGGCCGACTTGGGGCCCTCTTGGAGTGCTCCAGGGCCGTCTTGGAGGCCATTTTGGGCGTCTTAAAGGCCTCCTGGGCTGTCTTGGGGGCCTGGTTGGGCCGTTTTGGGGGCCTCTTGGGCAGTTCTGGGGCCATCTTGGAGGCCTCGTGGGCGATCTTTGGGCGATCTTTGGAGGCACTTGAGCCGTCTCGGGCCGTCGGAAGGCCAAAAATAAGCAAATGCCACAATCCTTCAAACACCTAAGGAAACAACGTGTTTTTGGCCTTTTCGGGCCTTCCTGGAGGCCCTCTTGGAGGCCTGTTGGGCTGTCTTGGGCCAGCTTCGAGGCAACTTCGGCCATCTTGGCGGGTTCCTGGGACGTCTGACGCCGTCGGGAGCCGTCTTGGGGGCCTCTCTAAACTGGCGTGGGCCCTCTTGGGGCGCTTCGGGGCCGTCTTGGAGGCCATCTTGGGCGTCTTGGAGGCCTCTTGGCCCGTCTTGGGGGCCTCTTGGGGCCGTCTTGGGGCCTCTTGGGCCGTTCTGGGGCCATCTCGGAGGCCTCGTGGGCGATCTTGGCGGCCTCTTGGGCCGTCTTGAGCCGTCGGAATGCCGAGAAGAGGCAAATGCAAGCATCCTTCAAAACCTTTTTGGAACATCAATTTTTTGGCCTCTTCGGGCCCTCCTAGAGGACCTCTTGGAGACCTCTTGGGCCGTCTTGGGCCGTCGTGGAGGCTTCTTGGGTGAACTTGGAGGTATCTTGGACTCTCTTGGGCCGTCTTGCAGGCCGTCAAGGACCATCTTGGGCGGACTTGGAGGCCATCTTGGGCCATCTTGGAGGCCATCTTGGGCCAACGTGGCCATTTTGGAGGCCATCTTGGACCAAATTGGAGGATTTTTTGAGGCTTTCCGGGTGGCCTGCGGGACGCGCTGGAGGTCCAGGGGGAGTTCTTTTGGAAAAAGAACCAACACCAAAACCGAAAGGGTCTAGCACGCCAGGCACCCATGCGATGAATCGACAGGGGGCGGCGGATTATTGTTGATCCCACACCCCCCGTAACCATCCGTATTTTTCAGAAGTGCCTCTCTCTAGGCCTCCTAGATGGCGTCGGGGTTGATGGGGTCGGAGGATCGCGCCGCATTGCCGATGCACCGCCGATGTGGCTCAAAGTGCAGCCCGATTTGCTTCGCGTCGACGTCGCCGATGCATCGCCGACGTCGATGATGCATCGTCGGTGCATCGCCGATGCATCGCCGATGCATCGCCGATGTATCGCCGATGTATCGGCGATGCGGCGCGATCCTCCGACCCCATCTACTCCGACCCCATCTAGGAGGCCTCTACTCTCCCGGAGCTCGCACTTGTTTTCTTATGTAAAAAAGGGAGGTGCGCGGCCACCAACCTGCGTGGAGCCGAGCGCTGGGGCCCTCGCCCCGAGTTGTTTTTGGGCTCGCAGGCGAGCCGCGCGCGCTCGGACCTCCAGAGGCCTTCACGCTGAGGCAGCGGGCAAGCCGGGGCTTCGGGGAATTATCATGGCGCCAACATCGCAGAGCGGATTTCTGTCGGAAAACACGTTCTGTCGGATTTCTGTCGGCCAATTATCATGGGCCCGGAGTGTCCTGGATAGTCGCGTTCCGGATTTAGAAGTGAATTTCGTTTGGTTTTTTTCCGGGCCAGGAATGAAGAGTTTGAAAAGATCCACGTGAAAATCACTTCGTTTTTCGCTCGCTGTTTTTGGGGTTTTGCCTTGGCAGAAATCCACGCAAAAATCGGCTGGAGCACGTCTGCAAGGTCGGTGCAGTGAGAAGTAGTGATGGAGCTCAGAGGAGATGCACACGGCCAAATGGAGGAGAGGTTCTGACAGCATGGTAATCTTGCGAGCGGTATGCCTGCGACGCTGGGAGCTGAACTGCTCGGCTGCTGAAGCCTGGCTCCCTCAAGAGAGGCAGGCTGGCTTCTAAACACAGTCTTTCGAGGATTCAAATTTTGCCCCCCAAACCGAAGTTGGCAGATCCGAGCCTGTGGAGGTGCTCTGCTCATATGTCGAACCAATCGGCGTTTCTCGTCTAGACTGTTGACAGCTCTACCGCGTCTCGAAACCCTAGGGCTAGCTGAGCTTCAGCAGAAAACTGACCGCTTTCGATCGGCAGGGGTCTCAGACCGTGTAGTGGACACATGTTTTCGGTGGGCAAAGCGAGGCCTTCCTGCGGGGACGATCTTGGAACTGGGCTGGTGACCGAGGATGCTTCACGAAGAGGAGGCTTGGTGCGGTGGCAGGGTCCACGGAGCAATGTGGTGAGGTTTCAAGGGCTTCCAGGATGGAAGTCCGTCTGTCACTTTCTGTTTGAGGGCTTGTGGTTCCAATGCGATGTCCTTCAATCCCGATTGGGGTCGGCGCGACGGAGGCACAAGCCGCATGTAGCAAGCCCGTACCCATATTGGCTCAGGGCCACGCAGGCCTCGACTCACAAGGCCCAGAAGCTGAGTCACAGGTAGAGCGTAGATTAAGAGCCGGTGGAGTGCCTGCCAGCACCGCACAGAACCAGGGCGGCCATGCCGCACCCTTTCAAGTGGGAGAGGCTGAGCCAGGATGAGGACCCGGAGCGCACTGTGACGCCGCGCGCTGGTCATACGCTGACGCCCAGTGGGCCTGGCTTCATCATGTTCGGAGGCATGGACAGCCGGAGGAACGATCAGGGCCAGTCTGCCCCGAACAGCGACCTCTTCGTGCTGAAGCTGGGCAACAACCGCACGTACAAGTGGGAGTCGATCGAATTAGATGCCGCATCACAGGTGCCCCCCGCGCGCACGCTGCACTCGGCGGTGAGTACCAGCCCTACCAACAGCGACGAGGTGTTTGTGTTCGGTGGCATTCATTCCGCGATGCCGTACCAGTGCTTGCAGGACGGCTGGATACTGGACACCGCATCCATGGAATGGAAGAAGGTGCACTTCAAGTCGCAGCCCACGGGCAACAAGGGAGTCGCGTCTCGGAGGATGACGGGCATGATCCAGGATCGCAACAAAGAGGAGTGGGGCGTCCGCCGGAAGCAGTCATCGGGCAAGTTGCGGGGATCCAAAGCGCGAGCGACAATGACCAGCAGCTCGAGGGGCAACAATGTTGGCCGCGGTGGCAGCGTTGCCGCCAGCAGCATCAGCTTCGCATCGCTGGCTGGAGCCGCCACCCGCGCTGTTCACGAGAAGCGCGTGTCGTCTCGTGGCGGATCTATGGTCGGGCTGTCCGCTGTCATGGGGGGGCCCGGTGGAGCATCTGGCGGCTCCTCCAAGAAATGGCGCGGGATCCTGCAGAAGAAGATGGGCAGCATGCTCCAGGCACCGCGCAGTGGTGCCATGAGCATGAGGATGCGGAAGCAGGGGGGGCCGTCGATGGGCGGTGCAAACCTCATGGCGACCAACGAGGAACAATTCCACGAAGAGCTCGTTGCAATGGTCTCGCAAGCGGTTGGCGATGACTCGGGCCCTACGAGTGACGTGAACATGCCAGCACCTCGCTCCAACCACACCACGTGCTTGCACGAAAACGCCATCGTTCTGTTCGGTGGTCACGGAGGCTTGGGCTACCAGCGGAAGGCGTTTAACGACGCTTGGCTGCTGAATTTGGACAACGGGCGTTGGAACGAGCTGATGTGCCAAGGGACACCTCCGCCGCCTCGCTCTGGGCACACAGCGTTCTGCAAGGACGGGTGCGTGTTCATATTCGGCGGCTGGAACCATGAGTCCCAGTTCAACGACCTGTTCATGCTTGACGTGGAGAACAAGGACTGGAACGATCTCGACCTGTTGTGGGGAGTGCCCAGGTGGAATTGCTCCCTGCAGCTGGTTGAGGCTATCCCTTCGTGGCGCGTCTTCGTTTTCGGTGGCACCGCTGACATTGGCGGCGAGGGGAGGAGCGGTGGATCCTTTGACAACAGGATTGGCGTGCTGAACCTCGGCGAGAACTACGAATGGGAAGAGCATCCGCTCTCGATGGGTCCCGAGGATTTGCGGCCCACCCCGCGCGAGCACTCGGCCATCTGCTACGACCCCGAGGAATCGCGTCTGCTCGTCTTCGGTGGCTGGTCCAACAAGTGGCTCGACGACGTGTGGCAGATCAACGTATCGTCAATCGTCGGCCCGCCTTACGCCATACTTAAGGTGGACCCACCGCTTGGCCCCGTAACAGGCCAGATGAAGGTCAAGGTGTATGGAGTTGGTTTCCTCGCCAGCCACGGCATGGTCAGTGTCGAGTTCGCTGCAGGCAAGTTCAGCGCGAGCACGCAGGGAAGCGTCATCTCTGACGAAGTCATCGAGTGTCTCACACCTTGCGTTGCAAGCAGCTTGGGCCCGAAGGAGTGCATCGTCCGCGTGCAGATCGGGGCGCGCGACTTGACAACCACTACGACGACCTATGCCTTTTTTCTCAATTCGATCGCAGAGAAATCGCTGTGCTTTGGCCCCGGCGTCCTCCCAGAGCAGCAGGCGAACCAGGAGACCCGCCTGATCATACAGTTGCGCAATCAGAACGGCGTGAATCGGACGACTGGGCGCGACGAGTTCGTCATCACGTTGCAGCAGAAAGTCCCGACAGAGGACGGCAAGGAAACCCGACGGGAGCTGCCGTTCGAGCTACTGGACAAGAACAACGGTCAGTACGAAATGAAGTACATTGCAGAAGAAGGCGATGTAGAAATTCACATCAAACTGCTGGACGAGAACGGCAAGCCGCAGCCTATCCGCGGTTCGCCCTTCAAGGCGTCTTTCACATCTTCCGCCAGGAATCGCGCCAACGAGTACTCTGGGCCTTTGGTTACGCAGTGGCTCTCAAGCACCCTAAAGAGTCTGGACGAGTTCTACCAGAATACAAACACAGGCTACCAGCAGAAGATCAAGGACGGCGACGTCATGGCCCTGATCAAGGTGATGAACCACATCAAGGACATGTACGACCAAGAGGAGACGCTGATCCTGCGTCAGGACGAGATTTTCGAGACCCTCGCACAGCTTGAGAGGGAGGGGCTGCCAGGCGAAAAGCAGCTGAAACAGCTGAAGAAGGTCGGTGCGAACTTGACGCAGCTGAAGGAGGATATTATCGCCAAGCAGAAGGAAATACAGCCGACGGAGCAGAAGGAGAGCGACTTGTACAGGAAGAGGATCGCCGAATTCGAGACCGAGCTGAAAACATACCAGTCGGGCTTGCGCAAGGAGGCTTACTATCCAGCTGCCTGCGGCAGGTCCTGCCACCGTGCCAGCCCAGCCTTCTGGTTGGCAACTGTTTGTGGGGGCACGGGGGGCCGTCACGTGTGACACCTCGTGTCTCCAAGCCCAGGGGAGCCTTGATGAGGATGTTGAGGATGATGATGCCGATGCTGATGCTGATACTTATGATTCTGCTGGTGCTGATGATGATGACGACGATGATGATGATGATGCTGATGCTGATGCTGATGCTGATGCTGATGCTGATGATGATGATGATGATGATGATGATGATGATGATGATGATGATGATGATGATGATGATGATGATGATGATGATGATGATGATGATGATGATGATGATGATGATGATGATGATGATGATGATGATGATGATGATGATGATGATGATGATGATGATGATGATGATGATGATGATGACGATGACGATGACGATGACGATGATGATGATGATGATGACGATGATGATGAGGAAAGGAGGAGGAGGAGGAGGAGCAGGAGGAGGAGCAGGAGGAGGAGGAGGAAAAGGAGGAGGAGGAGGCAGGAGGAGGAGGAGGAAGGAGGAGGAGGAGGAGGAGAGGAGAAGGAGGAGGAGGAGGAGGCAGGAGGAGGAGGAGGAGGAGGAGGAGGAGGAGGAGGAGGAGGAGGAGGAGGGAGGAGGAGGAGGAGGAGGGAGGAGGAGGAGGAGGAGGAGGAGGAGGAGGAGGAGGAGGAGGAGGAGGAGGAGCAGGAGCAGGAGCAGGAGCAGGAGCAGGAGCAGGAGGATACAGGAGGAGCAAGTGGAAGGCCGTCACATGTAACACTTTTCGTCTTCACTTCTTGATGAACTCTCGTCCTGGGGCCGTCTTGGGGGTGTCTTGGGCTCCCGTTGGCAGTCTTGGCGGTCTTGGGGCCCTGGAGGGCCGTCTCGGGGCCCTTGTCGGCGGTCTTGGGGCTCTCTTGGTCCGTCTTGGGGCCCTCTTGGCCGTATGGGCGGTGTCTTGGGGCGTTTTGTGGCCGTCTTGGGCCGTCGGAGGGCTTTCTAAGACCGTCTTGGTCTCTCCGGAGGCCCTCTTGAGCCGTCTTGGGGCCGTCTTGGAGGCATAATTGGGCCGTCGTCTTGGGATCCTCTTTGGGTCCTTTCGGACAGGCTTGGCCCCATCTTGGAGGCTTCTTGGGCCGTCTAGAGCTGACGGGTATCCGAAAAACGCGAGAGTGCGAAGCTCACTCAGAGGCCAGAGAAACACCATGATCTTCGTTTTTGTCGGACCCTGTTGGTGGTCCCCTTGTGGTCCTATTGTGTGCTATTGGAGGCATCTTGGTCCGTCTCGAGGGCATCTTGCCGGCGTCACCCCAACATACTTATACTATATATGCGTCGCCCCCCTAGTGGCGACGCGCGCACCGAGAAATCTTCTAGTACATGCGTCGTGGCGGGCGCTTTCTGGGCACACCGCTCGGGAAACGTTATATTGCAATTTGGGTATACTATATGTTCGGGTCGGACGCGCGTCTCCAAGGAGCACATTCCCCAATCAGTGCTTGCACTGAAGGGGTCCCAGTGGAAATTGAAAGACTTGGCCCCGCCGATTTTGGTGGCCGGCTGGGTTCCTGGGTTCCCAGTTCTGGGTTCCCGGGCTCTTGGTCATTGGTTCTGGGCCGATTTCGGTGGTTCCCTGGCTCCCAGGTTCCCGGGTTCCCTGTCGATCTCCTCATCGATCTTGTCATCGACCCCATCTCAAGCCATCCACTGATCGGATTTGCTCCTTGGGTGTAACCCAAACATGCGGCCTCCTGAGTTTTTCAGGACGGCGTCCCCGGAAATCCAGACCCTTTCCCTGGGACCGGTTTTTCATCCCGAGTCGTTTTTGGACGGTCCCGGGGCCCGGCGACGGCCCCCAGGCGCCGAGAATAGCGAAACACTGGCCGTCCTGTTTTTTTTTTTTTGTTGCGACGCGATCATGTCTGGGAATCTAGTAACCTAGTATGTCTCCGCGCATATCCCATCTTGGGCCGCCTGGGGGCCGTCTCGGATCGTCCTGGAGGTGTCTTGGGCCAAGTCTCGGCGGCTCCGCCCGCCTGCCTCGGCCCGCCTCTCCCGCCCTGGGGGATGCGCGGAGGTCCCTCGCCCCAGGGGTCTTCGCGGCCGCGGGGGCGCGAGCATCCGCGGCCTCTCCCTGATGGTGCTTCGCCTGAAGAGGTTTCCCCAGGGGAGGGGGGGGGGGGGGGAGGGGGAGCAGGGGGAGAGGGGGGGGGGGGGAAGGGGGGGGGGAAGGGGCGTGTAGGATGGGGAGGAGGGGGAGGCGTCTGGGACCATCTTGGATCGTCTTGGATCGGCTTGGAGGCGTCTTGGACCCTCTCGGCGGCTCCGCCTGCTCGCCTCGGCTGTCTCTCCAGCATCGGGGATATGCGCGGAGAGCCCTCGCCCCGGGGATCGTTGTCTCGGGAAAGCGAAAATCCGCTGCTTCTCCCTGATGATGCTTCGCCTAGACAGTCGGCGGCGAGCGAGGGGGGGAATTGAGAAGGAGAAGGCCTTCTCAGAAGGCGGCGGGACTTCTCCGAAGCCCTCGCGCCTTCTGAGAAGTGTTTTCTGTCTTCGGGGAAGGCTTAGAAATATCAGCCAGCGTCGACTCCAAATAGACCAGACGACTCAAATCAAGGAATCAGAGGAATCAAGCATGCTTGGAATCCGCAACTCAGCAAGCAAGCAAGCGTGCAAGCAAGCGCGCAAGCAGGCAAGCAAGCAAGCAAGCACGCGTGCAAGCGCACGAGCAGGCATAGGCATAGGCGAGGCATAGGAGTTAGGGGGAGGCATAAGCATAGGCATAGGCATAGCCATAGGAATTACAGGGGGGGGGCATAGGAATTAGTGGAGGGGGGGGGGGCAACGGACCAATTAGTAGAGCATGAGTTAGGACTCCTATAAGGCAAGCCTATTTGGAGAGCTTCTCAGACGTCTGGGGGACTTCCGAGCCTTCTGAGAAGGCACGCCCTTTCTCATATCAGCCAGCGTTGACTCCAAATAGATAGACGACTCAAATCAAGGAATCAGAGGAACCAAACATGCTTGGAATCCGCAACTCAGCAAGCAAACAAGCAAGCGTGCAAGCAAGCGCTCAAGCAAGCAAGCAAACAAGAAAGCAAGCAAGCAAGCAAGCGTGCAATCGCGCAAGCAAGCAAGCAAGCAAGCAAGCAAGCAAGCAGGCGTAGGCATAGGAATTGGGGGAGGCATAGGCATAGGCATAGCCATCGAAGCTAGGGGAGGCATAGGAATTAGGGGGGGCAGCGGACCAATTAGTAGAGAATGAATTAGAACTCCCATAGGGCAAGCCTATTTTGAGATTTCCCCCCCCTGGCAGGCCGCCTAAAAAGGTTTCTTCTTCTCGTGTGCAGCTGTGCTTTGGAGCTCTGATCTCTTGATTTTCGTTCGCTGCCGTGGTTCGTCCCCCCTGGCCTCCCTCGGGCCTCCCCCTGGCCTACCTCGGGGCCTACTCCGTGGCCTTCGCGTTCGTCGTTGTGGTTCATCCCCCCCAAGCCGCACCCCCCCCTCCCCCGGGTCCTCCAACCTCACCTCCCTCGAGGCCTTCCTTCTGGGCCACGGAACCTTTTATTTTCGCTCGTCGTCGTGATTCGTCCTTCCCCCTGGCCTCCCCTTGGGGCCCTCTCACCGGCGTCTCTCCGGGCTCCCTCAATGTGCTTTTATTTTCCGTAGTCGTCGTGGTTCGTCTTCCCCCCCTGGCCTCCCCGCGGGGCCACTCCAAATTTTGATGAGTAAGTTTGTCAAGCGAAAGCCGCATGAACGTTTCGCCAGAAAGGTGGATATCTCAGGCTACCCGCAACTTGAGCCAGAACGCGGCAGTGCTCTGGCGATCCGTCCGCCACAGGTCTCCGCGGACAGATCCTGGTCTGATCTCAGAAGAGGCGTCTCGATAGGACCTGGGTCCCCGGGCTCCTCAAGGACTCTTATGCGACAGCATTCCTAACATGTCCTAAACACCATATTCTAAAGTCTAGACGAATCGCGTGACCCCACCAGCCCATGCAGAAACGATGCCCAGGCGAGCTGCCTTGATCAGAGATGTGGAGGAACATGCAGCTGGCAAAAAGTGTTATGGAAGTCGTCATACCCTGAGAGGGGGAGGATGGAGGAGGAATCCGAGGAGGAGGAGGGGGCGGGGGCGCCTCTTGGGGCATCTTTGGGGTCTCTTGGGAGCCTCTTGGGGACCTCTTGTTGGCCCCTTGGGGCCTCCTGGGCGCCTTTTGGGCCCCCTCGTGGCACTCTTGGGAGCCTTGGGGGCCATCTGGGGCCATCCATGATTTGCCTTCTGGTCGATGCTTTCTTGGACGCTCCAATCGGTCGCGGACCCCCCGTCAAGATTCAGATTAGGGTATAGGACGAGGGGTAAGCCCCTCCCCGAAGGATAAGAAATAGGTTGAACGAGGAAACCTTCCAAACCACTCTCGCCATAAAAAGGCTGGTGGGATTATGGTTATATATTTTAGTTTGTTGTTTTCTTATGATCATTAAACGAGACGGAGTGGGAAATATACAATCTTCGATTAACTCGCCCATGCGAACCATTCGCACGACATTGAAGTCCCAATGGTGAAATGCCTCACGTCGTCATCTCCTTGAAAGCCGGGTGAACTCTGCAGCGCAGTGGCTTTCTTTTCTTATCGAGCACCGAAGTCGCACTGTACCTGTAGCAAGCAACTCCAGCAATGCTTTGGAGTATTCTCCCACGTCCTTGGTCAACATATCTGAGACCATCAGTTTTCTGTTATGAAACGAAGGTCTGAGCCTCATTGCCTGTTATCCTTCACATAGTGATCGTTTTACAAGACGTTGTGATTTATCTTGTGGCGTGGTGCGTCTTCTACAACAGAGCTGACATACATCCATATGGTCCATATAGTCGAATAGCATCCACTGGCGAGCTCAAGTGTCCTCGATCAAGTCGTTCCTGCAACTGCAGTGGCTTCTGTGACCCACACAAAGTGTTGGTCCTTGGTTTCGTCTAAGTCATGCCAGCAGTTTCTGCCATGGGAACTCCTCTCGCTGCTGCCAGTGTTTCTGCATGAGACGGGCTGTGCGGTATTTTTTGGATTTGTTTGATGTGACCGCCAGAGTGTCAAGCTTCCCATCCAGCCGTCAGAGGGCTGTTCTGCACGCAGTCTGGCGATCTGCCCGCCGCACGTGTCTGCGGACAGATTCCTGGTCGGAGTGGCCGCAGTCGGCGTCGCCGACGACGTCTTCTCCTGCGGCTTTGGACTTGGTCCGGGAGGAGGCCGTGGATATCCTTGTGCAGTTCTTCTTCGTTGTCGTCGACGATGTCAGCACATGCTGATCCTGCCCGGGTCGGGGTCTTCTCTCTCGTTGCTTGTGATCGAGTGGGGTGTAAAGACGGTGTCCTTCTGCTGATTGCTGTTTCGATCCTGCTGGTGATATTGGTGGTGAGGTCGCAGTCGCCGATGGGCTGTCTGGATTCTCGTGAACCGTAGGCAAGGTCGGGTAGCCTCCATAATCTCAGTTCTGATCCGATTCGTAAATAAAGCCATGTTACTATGGTCGATCACCACATCGCCCCCCATGTCCTGCGGCTTTTCAGCGTCGACTTTTCTTGCCCTTGTCCTTACCTTTCCAGGGTTGTCGTGGCTGGAAATCGTTTCGGCCAACAGGAGGTCGCTGGTATCGTCGCTGTCGATCGTATCCTTTCCCATCGCCGTTGTGACGATCGCCCTACTTACCTTTTCGGCCGCGGTCTTTGCTGTAGTAATGCCTGGATGCTGGTCTTCCTGATGCTGCCTCATGATTATGCTGGTTGTTCTGGTCGTCCTTGGAAGGGCAATTATCTGCAGTGTGAATCGTTGCCGTGCAAGTAGTACATTGCTTTCCTTGAAGTCGCTTGCGACCGTGGCCCCCTGATTTTGAATCTTTGCCTTTTACTCTTTTGCATCTTTCATGCTGGTCGTTCTACTCGTAGTCTTCATCTGCTGCCGTTGGAGTAGGCAAGTGTGCCATTCCTCCTGACGATGTGCCTCCGCCGTATCCGTTTTGATCTCCATTAAAATCGTACCAGTCGTCATCCTGATACGCGTCGTACTCTTCGTGGTACCATTCATCGTAACAGTCAGTTTTTAATCCTCGTGCCAGTTGTCGTAGTCCCAGTCGTCGAATGGGCAGTGGCGATACTCCACGTATTTGTTTCGATATCCTCCGTGCTGCTCATTCGCTACTAGTTCGTTCGGGGTGACTTTGAGCTGGAGCCGAACCATTTTTCGCCGTATATTCAAATCTCCGTTGACTTTCACGCGAAGGTTTGCTAATACTTGGTCCGCGACTGTGGTCCGAGACCAAGGAGCCATGCCTTAGCTAATTCTCCCATTCGTAGTCCTCAGTATCGTTCGGCTTCTTCGAACATGTGTTCCCGATCGAACGGGTATTTACGAAATGATACCGGAGAAAAAACCCAATCATAATCTTTCTAGGGCTGTAGGGCTATAGGGCTATATGGGCTGTAGGGCTATTGGGCTATAGGGTAATAGAGCTACAGGGTTATACGGCTATAGGGCTATAGGGTATAGGGGTATAGGGCTATAGAGCTATAGGGCTATACGGCTATAGGGCTATATGGCTATTGAGCAATGGGGCTATAGGGCTATCGAGCTATAGAGCTGCAGGGCTATAGGGCTATAGGGCTATTGGGCTATAGGGCTATAGAGCTATAGGGCTATAGGGCTATATGGCTATAGGGCACTCCCGGGCACCCGGGCATCCCCGGGCACGCCCGGGCACCCGGGCACCCGGGCACCCGGGCACCTGGGCACCCGGGCACCGGGGCGTGCGGCGAAAATCGGTGGTAAACCTAACCTAACCATATGAATCCGCTAGGATCCCTACAGAGGCAAGCTCTGATTGGGGAATGAACTCTTGATGTTGCCCTTTGCGATGCGTAGAGGATATGTCCGATGATGTCCAGGCGGGGTCTTGATCATTCAGTCCTTACATCTCAAAGAGCCTGTCCACCAATATCTGGATACCACTGTTCATGACCACAACGAGTTCACTGCCAGCTTCGCTGAATATCGGTGCGTCTCGCGGTCGGCTCACTGCTTCTAATCATCGCACGCTTATAACATTGTCGCTCTGATCAGGACGTCCAATTCGTAGATCTTTGGCTTGCAATGGCGCCCCTTTGAGTCTGCTCGTCAGTGCTGCTCCCAATTGGTATTGTTCCAATCGCGTGAAGCGGCTCCATTTTTTTAGTGCCTCTCGACATTCGCGTATAGAAGAAGCTTTTGGGCGCTAACCGGGAGGTACTTTTTTTGAGTATTGCTTCGGAGAGGGAGAGAGAGAGAGAGAGAGAGAGAGAGAGAGAGAGACAGAGAGAAGAGAGCGAGAGAGCGGGAGAGACAACAAGAGAGGGGTCATTGTAGGAGTTGCCAACGGTTTCGCCGCTGAAATGTGTAACATGGACAGCTGTATCCAACTCCTTCGTGATATCCAAGTCTAGAAGATACGCAATAATTGAACAATCATGTCAGAACACCATGTGATGTAAATCTCGCAAGGGAGCCGACTCGCTCCGCTACCGAACTCCAGATTTTGATGAAAGTCCTCTGCCTAGGACGTAAGTCCGTTTAGCAACATCCGTTTGAGCCTTTAGCAATAGAGATGGATATCGATTTGAGCCAGAGCGTTACTGTACAGTGCTCTGGCGATATGTCCGCCACAGGCCTCCACGGACAGATCCCGCCCTGAGCCCCAAGAAGAAGCGTCTCGATGGGAATTGGGTTCTGGGGGCTCCCTTCGTGAGACAGCATGCTTGAGAGGTCCTGTATATACATATGTATGTATGTATGCATGCATGTCTGTCTGTCTGTCTGTCTGTATGTATGTATGTATGTATGTATGTATGTGTGTATGTATGTATGTATGCAGGTATGTAGGTCTGTAGATATGCAGGTATGTAGGTATGTATGTATGTAGGTAGGTAGGTAGGTAGGTAGGCAGGCATGTGTGTCTGTGTGTATGTGTATATGCATGTATGTATGTGTGTACGTATGTATGTACATATATAGATATAGATATATCACTGTCCGCCAAGCTACCCCAACCCAACCCGAAGGCCCTGATTTGCCTCCATTTTCAGTTCATGGGGAAACGCACCATATGAAGCCCGCGCCAACCCTGACCCGAATTCGGGTCTTTGGTTGGGTTGGGGTGGTCTGGTCTCCTCCTCCTCCTCCCTCCTCCCTCCTCCCTCCTCCCCCTCCTCCTCCTCCTCCTCCTCCTGCTCCTCCTCCTCCTCCTCCTCCTCCTCCTCCCAGTGCGTGCGGAAGCTTGCGAAAGTCAAGTCGCAGGTGCAGAACGCCAAGAAGGAAATATCTTCGTTGGAACAGCAGCTGGAGAGGATCCAGGAGGCACTCGACCAGAAGAAGGCTCACCTTGAGGCCAACGTAGCTGAGGTTGTCTCCCTCGAGCAGCAGGTCGCCGCCCACGCGGCCAAGCTTGGGGGCGCAGGGGACATGTTCAAGTCAGAGATCCTGGAGGACCATTTCGTACTTGATCCCCAACAGCTGCAAGGCGAAGAGGAGGACGGGGCCGAGAAGCTGCGGACCTTCGCCTCCCAGCTCGTCTCTGATGCCCGTTGGACTCAGGTGCGCACCATGCTGTGCAAGCAGGTCGCCTCCAAGGTCCGTGCTCAGCCGAACCCTCATGTGGCTGCTGCTGCTGGCGATGCAGATGGTGGAGCTGATGGGTCATGCTCAGGAGCTTCGGCACGGACCCCTGTAGGAACCAAGCGGGCTACATACTTCTCATTTGACAAAGATGAGGTTGACGACCTGTGGAATAACATGCACCACGCTTCCACGGGGACATGGAATGCACCTCTGCCCTTATACTAATGGCACAGGAAATCGTATATCATGTTTGGGAGTGTGAGTCACTCAGTTCGTGGTCCCAGGCGCGTGGCTGGTGTGTCATCCTTGTGCCGGGTCAAACTGGCAAAGGCAAGCTGGCGACGGCAGGTGTTGCTGTATTTGCTCGTCAGTCTAATGGACCCAGAGGTCCGCGATATCCGCATGGACGGCTGGGCAGGCAGAGTGACACGAACAGGAAGATTTCATTCGGCTCTGATATTGTTCCTCATAGGGCTCAGCATGTCGTGGTGGATGTTCCTGGGTGGCCTTCGCTCAATCTCTTCAACCTATACCTGTTCACGGCTGAGGGGATGTCCTCTCGTAGTGCGAAGGTGCTCATGAATATCGGTCTTGCAATGGCAGGGTTCGAAGGTCCCTGCATTATCGGTGGCGACGGGGACATGGAGGCTGAGGAGGTCAATTCTTCTACGTTCACTACGAATGCGAAGGTCGCTAGTGTCAAGCCATCCGGGATCACGTGCAGGACGGCCAAGGCGAACACCACGATCGATTACTTCGCGATGACCACGGCGGCTATCAGGTTAGTCAAGCAGGTGAAAGTTGATCGTACATGGGCGACAAAACCTCACAGACCCGTCGTGGTGGAGATGGCCACAGTCGCTGGCAAGCTTCAGTACCTCACCTATGTTGGTGGGAAAAAGCTGCCTGCTGGAGTTGTGTACGGACCTCATCGCCCTGACGTTGACTGGCACAACGAGCTTGCTTATGCGGAGTCTGCTGTCGACATTGCGCAGCGCGGGAACGTAGACGCAGCGCGGCATTTCCTCAGTACGGCCCGGGCGATGTTTGCAGTGCAAGCTGGAGTGCGGCTGGGACATATTACTGGCAGTGAGGTAACTCAATTTGACAACTATGCCCGTCACGTTCAGCCGCAGTGGGTCGAGCACAGCTATGAAGGGCGTGACCAGGAAGGCTTTGAGAACATAGCAGATGGATGGAAACGGTTAAAGGATGCTCTACTCGATGGACAGGGCTGAAGGATGAGGTGCTCGGATTTCAGCTCACTTTCTGCCCTGGGCAAGGTATTTGTCATATATTGGATTCTACCATCGTACATGCACGGCGGTGCTTGTCGTCCTGTGGTTTCACTTTAGATGACATCAAATTCCTGCTGGAAGAAGCCGATCATGATATTCCGTCGGCGCTGCAGGATGCTGATCGCGACAGCGCTCAGAGGTGGAAGGAATGGTGTGACGGGGCAAGCCAAGACGGAGCTGGCCGACTTCATCGCATGACATCGTACAAGCATGGGCAAGCCCCAACAATGGTGCTAGAGCGAAGTGGTGAATTCTCGGCTCACCCTCATCGTATCGTGGCGGGCATGGAGGAACAGTACAGCGGATTATGGCGAGCAGAAGAGAGGGCTCCTGTCGCTTGGGTGCCTGACAGTTCGGCCTTGCGGAAGGCCACGCCGAGTGCGATCCGCAGCGCGTCGAGGACCTTCACGACGCGCGCGTCCAGCAGTATCGATGGGTTCCATCCGTCCCACTTGCAACATCTGAGTGATGAGGTATTGCCGGTGCTAGGCGCTCTCCGGGAAGCAAGTGAGCGCATGGGACTGCTACCGCGGCAGTTCGCGTGGATGGTTATGCCGATGCTCCCTAAGGCCATGGGAGGCCACAGGCTCATCATACTTTACTTTGCGAGCTACAGGGTATGGCAACGTGCCCGTCGACCTGAGCTGCGTAGGCTACAGGAACATGTTTCAAGGAAGTACTGGGGGGCAGCGTCGGGACGTAGCGCGATTGATAGCGCGTGGATCCTCGCTGCGAAGACGGCGACCAACGTCTTGAGGCGGAGGCGCACGGCGATGGTCATTGCTGACTACAAGCATTACGAGACGACACCCCTGGAGAGGCGCGAGATAATTTTGTCAGACTCGGAACGGGGGCGGCCCAGATGAAAGTTGTCTTCAGCCAGTGGCAAGGTCCATGGATAATCCGCCTACGAATGCATCATGGCAGTCGTCCTAGGCATGCAGTTGATGGCTTCCAGCTGGAGATGGGAATGCGGACGTCGTGATCAGAACTCGCGCAGTGGAGGAGTACGATAGATAAGTGACGCTTTCCCCCCTGGTCAGGTTCTCGTCGTACATCGATGACGCCTCCCTGGGTGCGGAGAGCGAGCCCACGGAAATGGTAGTGGAGTAAGCAGTTGCAGCAGCTGAAGGTTTCCGTGAAACAGTGCGCAGGCTGGGTGCGACTGTCAATGACAAGCTAGCGGTGGTTGGAAGCTCTCAAGATATCACGACAGAGATAACACATCGGCTTGATGTCAATGTGAAGGTCGGTGTAAGATCTACTCCCTACCTCGGTGCTGACTTTGCTGGGGGTCGGTCTCGAGGCTCTGCCAAGACGAGAGGGAAGTGCAAGCAGAGGGTGCACCACTACTCTCAGCGTTTGAAGAAACTACAGAAGTACAGGGGGTGTATCCCGACCAAGGCGTATAGCCGGGGTGCATCAGACTGGAGCGAGGCCAGCCTTGATTTATGGGGTAGAGGTCAATGGCGCCAGCGACAGCGAGCTCAATACCCTGGGGGAGCACTACCAGATGCACCGGGAGCCGTACCACGGTGGAGTCTCATCTGCCGGGAAGATGGCATTACACGGGGATCCTGTGATAAGGGAAGCCTTTGCGCCAGCGACGCAATGGTGCAGAATGTTGTGGCTACCCCAAGTTTTCCCCAGCCAGTCCATGGTCGCGACGGCGCAGCTACTTGCTCGGTGGCGAGCTGCAGTCCTTGATCTTGGTATAGTGGCGAAGTGGTCCCTTGCACGCGGTCCATTGCAGCGTGCAGCTCTATCCGTAGGTCGGGCAGGTTGGCAGGCACTCTCTGGTGACAGGTGGCTGAATCATAGCGGCGAGGTCGTGCAAGTGGATCAGCTCACCCCAGTCATGTTGCAGAGATTATTGGAGAAAGGTTTATGCCGTCAGCATGAATTACGTGTGGGCCAGAAGTGGTTCGATGATCCTTATGCTCGCGTCTCCTTCGGCCTGACTCGTCCCTATACCAGAGCAAAGTCGAGGAAGTTCAATCAGCATCGCAAATTTTGCAGCGTGAGCTGTGTTTGTGCTGGAGTGTGGACGCGATCTCGAGCGCTACGTGAGGGCTATATCATTGATGGTAGGTGCGAGTGCGGGGCGGTGGAGACGCTGGCGCATCGGCTGGTTGCCTGCACTCTTGCGCCAGTTCAAGATGTGCGGCGGGAGGCAGCAGTGGGTGATGATTTCCTGCAGGGTATCCGAGATCGACGTTGACCCAGCTCCTGAAACCATTGTGACTGATGCGGGTTGTGCTGACACCGACTTCATCGAGATCGCCATCGACGTTTCGTGTTCGAAGCCTGGGCTGTTGGTCCTGCAGCGAGCAGGATGGGCAATCGCTTTGCTGGGTCCTCAGTCGGATGTGCCACTGAGGAGTCTGTTCGCTCCTGTGCCCTCGACGCTTCCCCAAACTTCGGCAATTGCAGCGTGCTTGGCTTATGCGTGCACTGGGCAGGTGGCTCACCGACGGTGTTGGGCGTATGCTGATTTCATGGGCACGGTGAAAGCTGCGGCCTCTTCGGATCACAGGCAAGTGGCATTCAACTCGATGTGCGGCGGAGTGTTGCAGTTCGCGAGGAGTATGCCTGGGCAGTCTTATGTGGAAAAAGGTGACTCACATCAAAGCCCAGGTCAGGCGAGGACTGCGAGAAGCTGGATGACGCCATGAGGAGGTTAACGGACGGCAGCGTGGTGGCCGGTCACTTCGCCAAGCAGGGCGCCAGAATGCACGAGGCCATCACAGACGAGTTTGCCGAGCGCATGCAGCAAGCTGAGGAGAGGTGTCTTCAGCTTGCGAAGCTGGTGGCGGGCACCCTCCCCTTGTGCGTGCAGGAGGCCCAGGGGTGGGCGCGGTCCCGAGGGCACAGGAAAGTACGCAGCACGCGGACGCAAGGGTGGCGTCAGTGGGCTGACGCGTCCCCGGGCACCCAGTGTACTCAATGCTTGCAGCTATGCGGCCAGGACGAGCAGGACGTTATGAATGATTGTCGTGGCACGCCGTCCTTCTTGGTCGATTTCTCGCGAGAACCTCTTGGCCACAGACTTGTTGCAGTGAATCAGCGTGGTGACCTTGCTTCAGCAGTTGGGGGGGCGGTCTTCGCGCGTGCTGGCCGTGGCGCGTGGGCGCAGCAGCGGAGGAAGGTCAAGCTCAGATCGGAGTGTACCGACCCCACTGCCAAAGGAGCGGAGGTGTTGTACAACCTGAGACACAGTGTCGGTCCACACCGCAAGTTGGCAAAGTACATCGACGCTACCGTGCAGATAGGTGCTGTTGCCAAGGTGGCGGTCGCGGCTATGCAGGAGAAGACGTCAGTAGTGCGAGCTGTACCTGACGGGCCCTGCGATTTCAAGACCAGGATGGCGGCGCTGGGCGAGCGGATCAAAAGAGAGGAAAAGGGCCGGGAGCTGCAGTGCGACGGACAGAATACCTTCCTTGGCAGGAGCGCTGCGGCTGCGCTCGCTGCTGATATGCCGCCCCAGATGGCCAGAGAAGTGCTTTCCTCTGGGCTGGGGGCACGAACGAGCAGGAGTGCATCATCGCCTTCGTCAGCGACTGGTGGCAGTGGAGGTCAAGCCATGGAGACCGACGCGGCGGGGGGCACAAGTGGTGTTTCCAGGCGAAACAAACTGGAGGGGCCACCCCGTCGGTTGCGGAAGAAGTGCGGCGACCTGAAGCGGACTGCGGTGAAGGCTACTACGAACTCGACATCCTCCAGCCAATCATCGCGAGCTCAAGCTGGTGCCCGTCAATGCAGCACGGATACTGATGGCTTAGTTGATTCCGAGGAATCTGGCGCCGCGGGACGGCACTGACAGCTTTCAACGGTATGCAGCCGCTGCTCATGGCGATGATGGGCGCCACCATGCATGGGCTGATGACCCTGGCGGCGTTAGAACGCAAGTCCCAGCCCCCAGGGGCGCCCGCGGAGGTAAACAGCGCGTGGCGTTGGGCTCAGTCGCCAATGTGTTTGCTGGAGCCTGCCCCCTGGTGCACCCGCGTGGTAAACAGCGCGTGCGGCAGGCTCGCCTCGAAGTGTGCACGTGGAAGTGGTCAGTGCATGGGGGCCGACGCGGCTGGTGGCGCAAATGGTGTTTCCAGGCGAAACAAATTGGAAAAGCCACCCAGCTGGTTGCGGGTGAAGTACGGCGACCAGTCTCAAGCATTGGTGATGACTACTACGAGCTCGGCGTCATCGCCATCTGCGAGCTCATAGCCATGGTGATGCATGACGGAGACCACGCTGAGCTGATTCGCAGAATCTGGAGCCGTGGGATGGCACCCAGCGTGGCCACGCAGCCGCAGCTGCGGCACAGGGACATCGTGCGGCTCATCGACATCGGGGAGCCGCTGCAGCTGGACGCGGCGTCTCTGAGCGGGGCCGCCGCGTTCCCCCCCGAACGCCAAGTGGCAGGACCGCCGTTCTCGGCGTTGCTGTTCTTCTTCTTCTTCTTCTTCTTCTTCTTCTTCTTCTTCTTCTTCCTCCTCCTCCTCCTCCTCCTCCTCCTCCTCCTCCTCCTCCTCCTCCTCCTCCCTCCTCTTCCTCCTCCTCCTCCTCCTCTTCCTCCTCCTCCGCCCTCCTCCTCCCTCCTGGCTTCCTAGCCCCCCCCTCGGGGCCTCTCTCCTGGGCCGCGGGGCCCTCTGCCTTGCTTCGTCGTCGCGCTTCGTCCTCCTTCCCCCCCCCCCCGTTGGGCCCCCCCGCGGCCTCCCCTCGAGGCCTCCCCCCTGTCCCCCCCCCCTTGGGGCTCCCTCCCTCCCTCCTCCTTCCTCCCTCCTCTTCCTCCTCCCTCCTCCCTCCTTCATCCACCTCCTCCCTCTTCCTCCTCCTCCACCTCCTCCTGCTCCTCCTCCCTCCTCCTCCTCCTCCCTCCTCCTCCTCCTCCTCCTCCTCCTCTTCCTCCTCCTCCCTCCTCCTCCTCCTCCCTCCTCCGCCTTCTCCTCCTCCTCCTCCTCCTCCTCCTCCTTCTCCTCCTCCTCCTCCTCCTCCTCCCTGCTGGTTCGCGGAGCGTCCTTTTCGTGTCTGGTCGCGGCTCGTCCTCCCCACCCCCAGCCTCCCCTCGGGGCCTCCCTTCGGGCTTCCCCTCGGGGCCCCCGTCTTGCTCGTCGCCCTCCCCCCGCAGCCCCCCTTTCCCCGAAGCCTCCGACCTGGCTTCCCTTCGGCCCCCCCCCCGGGGCCTTAGGTGCTTTGGTGCGCCCGTGTCGATACGCAACACGTGCCGTGCTCAAAACGTACGTGTCAATACTTTGCGCGTTGGCTCAACGTATTGGCCCGCGTTTTGGCAAACGTATCGCGCGAGACCTACGTTTTCACTCTACGTGTTGAGATCCGTGTCAACACGCTGCGGCTTGCGTGTTGCGTTTCTGGGCAGCTAAGCCCGGGACCCCAGAGACTTGTGTTCTTTTGCGCAGACGGGATCCAGAGCTCGGATCCTTTCAATTTTCGTCGTCGTCGTTCGACCGTGTCCTCCCCCCGAAGCCCGTTCCTCGAAGCCTCCACCTCGGCTTCCCTCGGGCCCCCCCCCCGAGGCCCGAGAGCCCTGTGTTCTTCTGCGCAGGCGGGATCCAGAGCTCGGAGCCTTTCTATTTTCGTCGTCGTCGTTCGACCGTTCGCCTGCCGCATCCTGGGCCCCCCTGCCCCCATCCTCCTCATGATGCCCCCCCAAGAGAACACCGGGACCTCCGCAACAACCCCCCCCTCCTCCTCACCCCGCTTGTCCTGGCGCTCGCCCTCCCTTGTGCAGGTGCCAGGGGCATCGTGCCACTTGTCTTTTTGCTTTTGAAATACACCTGTGGGTCTGGGGTTACATCGGGCACGTCCCTCTACAGGAGGAATTCTCAGAAATAGTCAAACAATTGTATGGGGACGCGTTGTTGACTATATTCGGGTATTTTTTAAACGTTTTATATGCACACACATATATATATATAGTTGTCCGTCCAACATTCCCCTGTAGGGGGACATGCCCGACCTAAACCTGGGGTTCGTCGTTCGACGCGTTGCTCGGGGCTGCCCGGCGTGGCCCGGGGTTGCCCAGGCTGAGCGAGCAATGCCAAGCAATGCCCAGCAAGGCGCAGCAGTGCCGAGCCATGCCTCGCAACGCCAAGCAATGCCAGTCGATTGCCACGCGGTGCCAGTAACGCCAAGCAGTGCTGATCAATGCCAAGCAACGATGCCAAGCAACGCCAAGCAATGCCAAACAACAATGCCACGCAACTCCAAGCAAAACCAAACAAAACCAAGCAATGCCAAGCAATTCTAAACAACAATGCCACGCAACGCCAAACAACGCCAAGCAGTGCCAAGGAATGCCAAGCAATGCCAAGCAATGCCAGTGCAAGGAAGAAGGCCCTTAACTGCGGTCCCGCTGGGTTCATTTACCGGGGATCGTGGCCTCGAGAGAGGGGTGATGCATGCCACATTCTGCGACCAGAGGGGTGGGGTCCTTGAGAGGAATAGATAGCTCTACCAAACAGCCTTCGGCTTTCTACAGTCCTTCACGTGCCACGGGGGCACTGTGGCGGATTTCTACAAGAGCGGCCTGGAGCTCGCCACCAAACGCTTGAACGATGTTACCGCTGATTTGGACAAGCTCCAGTCTCGGACGGACGACCTGTCGTATATCGCCACCAACTTCAACTATGCGGACGCTCTGAGCGGCTCCAAGAAGATCATGCAGGCGATGCGCGAGGACGTCGCGAGCGTGCGTTCGTTGTGGGAGTTCGAGCGAACGAGGATCACTACCACAGAAGAATTTCTGGTCGTCAGGTGGGGCGTCGTGGTTGCAGGCGAGATGGAAGACGAGATTAAGGCGCTCTTCAAGAAGCTGAAGGAGGTAAAGGTCGACAGGAAGTGCGACGCCTACCTAGGGATCCAGGATGTTGTCAAGAAATGGGTGACGTTCTTGCCACTTGCCGGGGAGTTGCGGGACCCCGCAATGCGGCCGAGGCACTGGACACAGCTCATGGAGCTTTGCGGGAAGTCAATCACGGTGACGCCCGACATCCTGCTGCGCGACATGTGGAATTTGGAGCTTCACAAGTTCTCAGACGCCGTCGAGGACACGGCGGACCAGGCGAAGCAGGAGTCGAAGATGGAGGCCACACTGAAGAAGATTTCCGGCGAGTGGGCAGGTGTAGAGTTTGAGTTCGAACCGCACAAGGGGAACGACGAGATCAAATTAATGAAGATCACCGACGACAAGTTCGAGACCCTGGAGGAGCATCAGGTTCAAGTTCAGAACATGTTTGCGTCCCGTTTTCTGTCCACTTTCGAGACGGAGGTCGTTTTCTGGCAGAAGACGCTGGCCAACGTGGCCGAGGTCTCCCAGGCGTTGTCGGAGGTCCAGCGCTCGTGGGCCTTCCTCGAAAACTTGTTTATCTACAGCGAGGAGGTGAAGAAGGAGCTGCCGGAAGACAGTGACAAGTTCGTCGGCATCGACATGGATGTCAAGGAGATCCTGAAGCAGGGCAGCGAGATGACGATCTGCAAGGACTTCTGCAACCAGGGCAACATCTTCCAGCGCCTGGAGAAGACACAGACTCAGCTTTCCATGTGCGAGAAAGCGCTTAACGAGTTCATGGACGGCAAGCGCAGAGCCTTCCCCCGCTTCTACTTCATGTCCTCCGCAGACCTGCTTGATGTCCTGAGCAACGGCAACTCGCCAGCGAAGGTTCGGGGAAACGTGAGGCTCGAGTAAGCCGGAACTCGGGTTTGCCGGCGTTCTTTGACGAGCGCGTCCTGGATTCTGACGGTCCATTTGTTTCTGTGGGATGTCTGCAGCGGGAGCTCGCGTCAAATTTCAGCTTGGCTTTCGCCATTGTTGTGATGGCCCCGGCAGGCCAACCCCAGCCCCCCGTGCCCGAGTCTTACGTTTAAGCCGGGCCTGTCCCTCTACAGGAGGAATATTTCAAAATAGTACTGAAAGAGTCGGGGACGATTTTTGGAGTATTCTTTGACCCTCTTAGGTTTTTTGTTATGAGTATTTTTTCATTTTCGCCCAAAGTCCCCCTGTAGGAGGACATGCCCAACTTCATCTTGCGTCTCCCCGTTCGCAAACGTCCGAAAAACACATGTCTGCTTTCATGTAATTTATCGTAGATCCCCCGCGGGGGATCCAGGCCATTTGCGAGTAGTGACTTTGCGAGTAGTGGAACGCGCTCGTCTAAAGGTGGTGCCCCAGTTCCCCAAGTTCTTCATCGCCATCGACAGCTACACGCTGGAGTTCCCCGACGGCGAGAAGGCCCGCCCCTCCGCCACGGGCATGGTCGCCTGCGTCGGCAAGGAGTATGTGCCCTTCCCCGAGCCTCTCAAGCTGGAGGGCAAGGCGGGGCTCGCTGCGATCCCTCCGGTCCGGTTCGGTTCGGTTCGGCTTCGGCGGCGTTCGGTTTCGATTCGATGCGACTTCGGGTTCCGATTCGGGCTCCGATTTCCCAATGGAGACTTGCTGCTGTGCCGATTTCCGCCGACAGGGCTTTTTCCGACTCGGCTGCCGATTTCCATCGATGCGCTTCATTTCGATCGCCGATCCAGCTTATCGATTCTATTGTGGGCTCTTCCTGCAAGGTAGAAGTTTACCTAGACCGGTGCATCGACGCATTCCGCCACGCCCTCAAGTATTTTGCCAGGGATCTGCTCGCGAGGTACTTCAGCGAGGGCTGCAACGACGACGGGGAAAAGCGCGGTCTCTTCATCGCCGACAGTCAGGCGGCTCAGTGCGCGCTGCTGGTGCAGCTCATCACTTGGGTGCAGCTCGTGGAGACGGGCTTTCAGGCCGTTGCCGATGGTGACGCCAACGGTGTCAAGGATGCGTGGGACAAGCAGGCAGCACTGCTACTCAAGCTGGTCGAACTCACGATGACGAATCTAGACAAGCCGACTCGCCAGAAGATAATGTGCGCGATCACCCTGGACGCGCACAACCGAGACGTCCAAGCGAAGCTTTACAGGGAGAAAGTCGTGAGCAAGGACTCCTTCCAGTGGCAGAGCATGCTGAAATGCTATTGGAGAGAGGAGCTCGACGATGCAAACATGGAGATCTGCGACGCCAAGCTGCCCTACGGGTACGAGTACCTGGGCAACGGCCCTCGCCTGGTGGTGACCCCGTTGACCGATCGTATCTACGTCACTGCCACGCAGGCCCTCCATCTCTGCATGGGCTGCGCTCCTGCAGGCCCAGCCGGAACTGGTAAGACGGAAAGCACGAAGGATTTGGCCAACGGTGTGGCCAAGGCTTGCTACGTAATCAACGCTGCACCTGAGATGGACTATGTCTCGATCGGAAACATTTTTAAGGGCCTCAGCGCCAGCGGATCCTGGGGCTGCTTCGACGAGTTCAACCGCCTCGTGCCTGAGGTCCTCTCCGTGTGCACAGTCCAGTTTAAGTCCGTGTGCGATGCGATCAGAGCGAAGGCGAAGCGTTTCGTGCTGCAGGGGGACGAGATCAACCTGGACCCAGCCGTGGGCTGCTTCATCACCATGAACCCAGGCTACCTCGGCCGCTCTGAGCTGCCAGAAGGCCTCAAGGCTTGTGGACGACGATCATTGAAGAGGAATCATGTTGCTAACTACTTTCCAGATGTCTACAACATGTTTCAAACATGTCTTGAACATGTAAAGCACATGTTTCACACTTTTAAAACATATTCCTCACATTTTGAACTCGGTTTTAAATTGAATGATCGGATTGTTGGGGTGTCCTTCGTAAGAGGAGGAGGAGGAGGAAGAGGAGGAGGAGGAGAAGGAGGATGATGAGGAGGAGGAGGAGAAGGAAGAGGAGGAGGAGGAGGAGGGGGAGGAGGAGAAGGAGGAGAAGGAGGAGGAGGAGGAGTGGGATGAGGAGGAGGAGGAGGAGGAGGAGGAGGAGGAGGACAACTTGAGGCGCTCTTCCGTCCCATCACGGTCATGGTCCCGGATTTCCAGCTCATCATCGAGAACATGTTCATGGGCGAGGGCTTCACCGAGGCGCCGGCGCTCGGCCTCAAGTTCGCGACCCTGTACTCGCTGAACAAGGACTTCAAGTCTTGCCTGTCCCTTTACAGGAGGAGTGTTTGAAAATAGTCAAGGAATAGCCAGGGGTTGTTTTGACCATGTTTGAATATTTTTTGGCTCTTTTTGATTCTTCGTCCAAAGTCCGCCTGTAGGGGGACATGCCGGTCCTGAAACAAGGACCTCCTCTCGCAGTCGAAGAAATACGACTGGGGCATGCGCGCCATCAAGAGCGTGCTGGTCGTGGCGGGCTCCTTCAAACGAGCGGACCCCTCGCTCTCGGAGCAGGCGGTGCTGATGCGGTCTCTGCGGGACACCAACGTAGCAAAAATCGAAGGCGACGATCTGAAGGTTTTCATGGGTTTGTTGGGCGATCTATTCCCTGGTATCGATGTTCCTCGTGCCCGCGATTATGATATGGAGAAGACGTTGATCGAAGTGATGGAGGGTGACTTCGGTTACACGCACGATCCAGATGAGTATCCAGCTGCCTGCGGCAAACCCCGCCACCGTGCCTGTGCAACAGCGTAGCAGGAAGGAGGCTGAGTGTAGGAACATCGCAATTCCGACGACTGATCTGAATTGTGAAGGGCGTGGCGTCGACCTCGTCTTCGTCCTCGCGGTATGACGGAAGCAGTGGAGGAGAGGGAGGAGGAGGAGGAGGAGGCGGGGGAGGAGCAGGAGGAGGAGGAGAAGGATGAGGAGGATAATGATGATGATGTTGATGATGATGATGATGATGATGATGATGATGATGATGATGATGATGATGATGATGATGATGATGATGATGATGATGATGATGTTGATGATGATGATGATGATGAGGAGGAGGAGGAGGAGGAGGAGGAGGAGGAGGAAGGAACAGCACATGCAAAATATGAAGTCGCTAAGGAGAAGGACTGAGGGACTGATGGGCCCCTTTCTGGGGGGCTCCTGGCTGCTTCCTGCGAGCCTCTTGGGGGCCTTTTGGGGGCCTCCTGGGACCTCGCGTGGGCTTCGTGGGCCTCCTGGGCCATCTGATGGAGCTCTTGGCTCGTCTGGCGATTTTGGAGGCCGTCTTGGCGGCTTGTTCGCGCCGTCTTGGTGCCCTCCTGGAGCGCTGTAGGGACGCCTTGGGGCCCACTTGGGAGCCTCTTGGGCGATGTTGGGGCCCTCTTGGGAAGATTCGGGGCCCTCTTGGGAGCCTCGCGGGCCGTCGTGAAACTATCTTGGAGGCCTCTTTCGCCGCCTTCGGCGGTCGGAGTTCCAACCAGGCGAGAACCTCAACATCCTACAACAGCCCAATTGACATGAATGATTTTTGCCTCCCTGAGCTCTCCTGGAGGGCCTTTTCAAGCACTCTTGGACGTCTCCTGGGGCCCCACGGGGCTTCTTGGGCCATCTTTGGTGGCTCTTGTCCCGTCTGACGTCTTCGGAGGCCGACCTGGGGGCCTCTCTGGGCCGTCTTAGTGCACTCTTGGAGCGCTTCAGGGCCTTGGCGCACTCCTGGATGCCTCCTGGGGCCTTTTGGGGCTTCTTGGGCCATCCTTGGTGGCTCTTGGCCCGTCTGACGCCTTCGGAGGCCATCTTGAGGGCATCTCTGGGCCCTCTCAGTGCCCTCTGGGAGCGCTGTAGGGACGCCTCGGGGCCCACTTGGGAGCCTCTTGGGCGGTGTTGGGGTCCTCTCGCGTGGAATCGGGGCCCACTTGGGAGCCTCGCGGGCCGTCTTGGAGCTATCTTGGAGGCGTTCTGGGCAGTCTTGGGCGATCGGTGACCTAAACAGGCGAGAACCTCAACATCCTGCAAACACCGAATGGCAATCTATGAATGGGGCCTCCTCGGGCTCCGGAGAGCCTCTTAGAGCCCTCTTGGGCCGTCTTGGGAGCCTCTTGGGCTGTCTTGTGGCCGTCTTGGGAGCCTCTTGAGCCGTCTTGGGCCATCTTGAGCCGTTTTGGTATCGTCTTGGCCGTCTGGGAAGCCGAATTGGAGGCCATCTTGGCCGTCTGTAGGCCGAACAGAGCGCGGGGAGCGATTTCAGGGGGGGCGGTCTACGAGTGCGCGTGCGAACCAGGGAGGGTGTCGGCCTTAGACAACATTGAAAGACACTCCCAGAGGGTCCACAGGAGCATTCTAACACACCCACTCCGTGCAGGCACGATGGCGGATCTGCTTCTCAAGATCACGCAGCTGATCGAACTCTTGGGAATTCGCCACTGCGTCTTCCTCATGGGCAACCCAGGGAGCTTCAAGTCGGCGATGTGGAAGATTCTCAAGCAGGCAAAGACCAAGCGTGGGGAGAAGACCACCACTGTAGATTTCAGTCCAAAGGCAATCAGCACTAACGAACTGTACGGATTCGTCAACATGGCGACTCGTGAGTGGAAGGACGGCATCATATCCAAGGTGATGCGGGAGCTGGGACAGGTACCTGATACGCATCCGAAGTGGATCATGCTTGACGGTGACCTGGATGCCAATTGGATTGAGTCGATGAATAGCGTCATGGACGACAACAGGCTGCTCACGCTGCCTTCCAACGAGCGAATCCCGCTGAAGGTGCATATGAAGATGATATTCGAGATCCGCGACCTCAACTACGCGACGCCCGCAACTGCCACGAGGGCGGGTATCGTGTGCATGAGCGACGTCGAAGGGGTACAGTGGCGGTCTTACGTGACGAGCTGGATCAAGAAGCAGGAGTATCCAGATCAGGTGAAAGATGCGATTCAGAAGCTTTTCGACAAGTACGGGAAGGAAACGCTGCTGTGGATCCTAAAGAATACCAAGATTCAGGTCCCAATGGTCGACATCAACATGATGTCTGCCTGCTGCAGCTTCTTACAGAACCTCATCACGCCGGACAAATACGAAGTGCTCGAATATTGGTTCATTTTCTGCTTCACGTCCTCTATAGGGTTTTGCCTGTCTGAAGTGGACGGCGTCGACTACAGAAAGGCATTTAGCAATTGGTGGAAAGGCGAGATGAAGACGATCAAGTACCCGTCAAAGGGCACAATTTTCGACTACTTCGTGAAGGATGCGAAGCTTGAGGAATGGATGACCGCCGTGGAGGAGATCGAGTACAGCAGCGAAACGCCCATGGGCGAGGTCACGGTACCTACCGGCGAGACGGTGGCCATGACCTACTTGATGAAGGCACTCATCAACACGTATCACCCGATAATGCTCATCGGTCTCGCTGGCTGCGGAAAGACGCAGTCCTGTTTGGGGCTTCTCAGAACCCTGCCGCCCAACGAGTTCATGTTTTACTCCATGAACATGAGTTACTACACGGACTCCACACTGTTGCAGACATTGATGGAAAACCCTCTGGAGAAAAAGGCAGGGAAACTCTACGCGCCTCCTGGCAAGCTCAATATGATTTACTTTGTCGACGATCTTAACATGCCCGCTTTGGACAAGTACAACACGCAGAGCGCGATCGAGCTGATGAAGCAGAAGCAGGACTACGCTCACTGGTGGGACCGAGCCAAGATCCAGGTGAAGGACATCGGCAACACGCAGTACATGTGCTGCATGAACCCGACGGCGGGCTCGTTCATCGTCAACCCGCGACTCCAGCGCCACTTCTGGACTTGCTCGGTGCCCTTCCCAGAGCAGGCCGCCCTGCGTACCATCTACTCGACTTTCATGAAGGGCCACTTCGAGCGTCTCCCTTTCAAGTCGTCGGTCTCGGATTGCCTATCGAATATCATCGTGGCGGCACTGCAGCTGCACACCAATGTGGTGGCGTCTTTCCGGAAGACGGCCGCCAACTTCCACTACGAGTTCAACATTCGGCATATGAGCGGCGTCTTCAACGGCCTCCTCGCGGCCAAACCGTCCGAATTCGACAAGGACGAGAAGTTGACCAAGCTGTGGCTGCACGAGAGCGAGCGTGTCTACGGCGACCGACTGGTGTCCGTATCGGACCTCAAGAAGTACCGTGCGCTCGCCGCAGACCTCTCCAAGCGCATGTTCGGAAAGTTTAATTTCTCGAAGTATTTCCAAGAGAAGAACCCAGACCCTTTAGTTTTCGCGCATTTCTCCAAGGGCATCAGTGAAATGGACGGGGGTGGCACCTACGACCAGATCAACGGCTTCGACAGGCTGAGCGAGCTGCTCATGGCGGCCCTTGGCGAGTACAATGAAAACAACGCGGCCATGGATCTCGTACTGTTCGGCGACGCCCTCTGCCACGTGGGCAAGATCTGCCGCATCATCATGAGCACGCCCGGGCACCCGCTGCTCGTCGGGGTCGGAGGCAGCGGCCGGCAGAGCCTCTCTCGGCTCTCTGCGTATACGTGCCAGTACATAACGATGATGATTGTCATCAGCGGCAACTACGGCCTCAACGACCTCAGGACTGACCTCCAGGCAATGTACAACAAGGCTGGCGTGAAGGACGAGGGCGTGATGTTCTTGTTCACTGACGGGCAGATCACGAACGAAAAATTCCTTGTCTTCATCAACGATCTGTTAGCCTCAGGAGACATCGCCGACCTGTACGCCAGCGACGAGAAGGACGCCATCCGCAACGCGGTGCGCAGCGGCTGCAAAGCTGCTGGCGTCACGGATACGCCAGAAAATCTCTGGTCGTTTTTCATCGGCAGGATCCGCAAGAATCTCCACATGTCGCTCTGCTTCAGCCCCGTCGGCGACGACATGCGCAACAGAGCGCGCAAGTTTCCCGCGCTGGTGAACTGTACAGTTATCGACTGGTTCCAGCCGTGGCCGATGGATGCGCTCTTCAACGTGGGCCAGAAGATCCTGGGCCCGATTGAGCAACTGGGGCCTGAAGACAGCCCCGTGAGAGCAGGGATCGTGGAGTTCTTGCCGTTTAGTTTCGAGTGCTCTGATGGGGAGGCTGGGAATTTCATGGAGAACGAGAGGCGGTTCGCCTACACCACTCCTAAGAGTTTCTTGGAGCTCATTAAGCTGTACACTACCATGGTAGGACAGAAGGTCGACGCTCTGGAGGATCAGAAGGACCGCCTGACCAACGGTCTAGAGAAGTTGCGCAAGACACAGACCGACGTAGCAGGTCTAGAGGAGGAGCTGAAGGTGAAGGCGGTCGTGGTGGCGGAGAAGGCCCAGGCGGCCGACATCTTCGCCGAGGAGGTGGGCAGGGAGAAGGCCAATGTGCAGGCCGAGTCCGAGAAAGCTGGCGTGGAGGAGAGGGACTGCGCCAAGATCGCCAAGGATGTGTCTCAGCAGCAATCCTCCTGCGAGGAGGACCTGGCCAAGGCTGTACCGCTCGTCAAGGAGGCAGAGGCTGCCCTGGACATCCTCGACAAGAAGGAGTTCCAGGTCTTGAAGACCTTCACTTCGCCCCCTGGTGGTGTTGGGGAGGTCTGCGAGGCCGCGATGCACCTGCAGGCCGGCATCGACCCAAACATCGAGGTTGACAAGAAGGGTAATATCAAGGATGGGTCGTGGAAGTCTGCAGTGAAGATGATGGGCAATCCAGAGAAATTCCTGCAGAACTTGAAGGAATATAAGAACAGCATCGATGAGGGCAAGGTGCCCCAGACGAATATCGAGAAGGCAAGGAAGATCCAGGTCGCCATGGGCGAAGCGTTCACTTACGAGAAGATGATGACAAAATCAAGCGCGGCAGCAGGCCTATGCGCCTTCATTATCAACATCATCATGTACTACGACGTGGTGATCCAGGTGGAGCCGAAGCGCCAGGCTTTGCGCGAAGCGACCGAGACGCTGAACAATGCCAACACGAGGCTCGCCGAGGTCAAGGCCTTGGTAGCAGAGCTGGAGGCCAAGTTGGCGAAGCTGATGGCCGAGTTCGACAAGGCCATGGCCGAGAAGAACGCTGTGATGGCCGAAGCCCAGAAGTGTCAGACCAAGCTGGACATGGCGCAGCGCCTCGTAGGCGCTCTAAGCGCCAACGGGATCATCTGGGAGCAGACAGTCAACACCACGGCCGAGATGTTGGTGTTCATCCCCGGTGACACGTTGGTTGCATGTTCCTTTGCGTCTTACGTCGGCGTCTTCACGCGCGTTTACCGCGAGTCCTGCGTTCAGAAGTACGTCGATTTCCTGCGCTCGAAGGGCGTGCCCCTGGGCCCAAAGCCAGATCCTCTCAGCATCCTGGCGACGGACGCCCAAATGGCCGGCTGGGCCTCCCAGGGCCTCCCGTCCGATCGTGTTTCCTGTGAGAACGGCTCCATTGTCACGAACTCACAGCGGTGGTGCCTCATGATCGACCCGCAGCTGCAAGGAATCGTGTGGATCAAGAAGAAGGAGGAGGACAACCAGCTGCAGATCACCCGCATGGGCCACTCGAAGATAGTCAACACATTCGAGGTGGCTCTCGACCAGGGCAAGTCAGTTCTGATCGAGAACATGGGCGAGACGATCGACGCAGTACTGATGCCCATTGTCTCCCGGAACACAATCAAGCGTGGAAACAAGAAGGTCGTGAAACTGGGTGATAAGGAGATCATTTTGAAGGACCAGTTCAAGCTCTTCATGCAGACGAAACTGTCCAACCCACACTACCCGCCAGAGATTCAGGCCGAGACCACGGTGATCAACTTCACCGTCACCGAGGACGGCTTGGAGGACCAGGTCTTGTTCTTGGTCGTCAAGCTGGAGCGGCCCGATTTGGCTAAGAAAAAAACCGCGCTGATCCAGCAGCAGAACGAATTTAAGGTGGCGCTGGCCAACCTTGAGGCGCTTCTGCTCGACAAGCTCGCCAAAGCCGAGGGTGACATCTTGGACGACACGGAACTTATTCTCAGCTTAGAGGAGGCAAAGAAGACTTCGGATGAAGTCAAGGAGAAGGTCGTCATTGCGGTGGATACCGAGGCCAAGATCAACGAGACCTCCGAGTTTTACCGCCCTAGCGGCATCCGGGGCTCCCTTCTGTTCTTCCTGCTCTGCGACCTGTGCAAGATGCATACGTTCTACAAGTATTCGCTTGACTCCTTTGTGATGGTGCTCACGCGCGCGGTGAACGGAATCACATTGCGGAAGCCGAAGGTGATAGAGCCTCCGAAGGAGGAGAAGGAGAAGGCTGAGGGCGAAGAGGACGAGGGAGCCGAGGAGGAGGAGGAAGAGGAGGAAGAGGAGGAAGAAAAGGGCGAAGACGAAGAAGAGGAGGAGGAGATCATCGACCTTTCTGGCAAGGAGCTAAAGGATCGTGTGCAGCTCCTGGAGCGTACCATCACCTACGCAGTGTTCGCCTTCACGCGCCGAGGCCTCCTCGATGTTGACAAGATCATCGTGTCTACGATGGTGGCGATGAGGATCCTGGTGAGGGGAAAGAAGATCACTCCAGAGGAGTCCATGATGCTCATCCGCGCGCCGCCCGATCCCAACGCGGGGGCCATGCCGGACAACGCCAAGACCTGGCTCTCGGAGACGCAGTGGGCTCAGCTGAAGTCGCTCGAGGGCATGGAGGCGTTCAAGAAGGGGGGCAAGCTCACGGAGTCGGTGGAGCAGGACTCCCTGGGCTGGAAGCGCTGGTTCGGCGAGGAGCGCCCCGAGACCGCCGACCTGCCGAGGAGCGCCCGCGACCTCTCGCCGTTCCACAGGCTCTTCCTCCTCCGGACGTTGCGCCAGGACAGGATCGCGGAGGCGCTGAAGCAATTCATCATCGATAACCTGGGGCAGGACTACGTCGAGCAGGCGCCCTTCGACCTGGAGTCCGCGCTGGAGGAGTCTAGCTGCATCACGCCTTTCTTCTTCGTGCTGTTCCCCGGCGTCGATCCCACGCCTACTATCGAGGCAGTCGGCAAGAAGTTGGGAAAGACAGAGGCCAATGGCATGCTCGTCAACATCTCCATGGGGCAGGGACAGGAGCAGATCGCCCTCAACGCATTGACCAAGGGCGCCAAGGAGGGCGGCTGGATCATGCTGCAGAACATCCACCTCATGCAGGACTGGTTGAAGCAGCTGGAGCGTGCGCTGGAGGTCATCGAAGAGTTCTCGCATGAATCTTTCCGCTGCTTCCTGACCTCGGAGCCGCCTTCAGCGCTGCAAGGCCGTCTGTGGGAATTGATCCCCGAGCCAATCTTGCAACGGTGCATCAAGGTTGCAGACGAAGCACCGGCAGATCTGAAGTCCAATCTGCGCAGGGCATACTCGAAGTTTAGCCAGGAGAGCGTCGACGCATGCCTGAAGCCTAAGGAATTCAAGGCCACGCTGTTCGCACTGTGCTTCTTCCACTCGCTCATCTCCGGCCGCATCAAATTCGGGGCGCAGGGCTGGTCCAAGAAGTATCCGTTCAACGACGGCGATCTCACGATTTGTGGCCAGGTGCTCAGGAATTATCTGAACAATTCCGAGCACCTGGGCACGGACGTGCCATGGCCAGATCTGCGCTACATCTTCGGCGAGATCATGTACGGAGGCCACATTACTGACCCCTGGGACCGCCGCGTCAACAATACATACCTAGATGTCCTGGTCACCCCAGAGCTGCTGGCAGGCGTCAACCTGTGTCCGAATTTCAAGTCTCCAGACGCATCCAAGCTGGAGTACCAGCAGTACGCCAAGTACATCGAGGAGCGATTCCCACCCGAGGTACCCATGATGTACTGGCTGCATCCCAATGCAGAGATCGGTTTCCTGACCAACCAGGGCATCGGCATCTTCGAAACCATCTCGTCCATTGCTGGAGGCGGTGGCGGCTCAGGCGCTGGAGACATCTCCGCGGCGGGGGTTATGATCACCACTTACATGGGCCAGTTGCCCAGCAACCTGGACATGATCGACATTCGAGGCAAGCTGAAGCCCGAGGACTTCACGCCGTTCGTCATCGTGGCCCTCCAAGAGGCAGACCGCATGAACCTGTTGCTAAGTCACATGCGCTTTTCGATGATCGACCTTGAGAAGGGAATCGGCGGCCTGCAGAACATCACGGAACACATGGAGTCCCTGGCTTCGGATCTGCAAGCGAACAAAGTGAACGCGTTGTGGGCGGAGAAGGCGTACCCTTCGTTGAAGGCGTTGTCCGCGTGGTTCGCCGATTTGCTCGAGCGCGTCAACCAGGTGGTAGAATGGACCGCGAAGATCTCACTTCTGAAGTCGATCTGGCTGGGCGGCCTCTTCAACTCCATGTCGTTCCTCACCTCGAACATGCAGGTGGCCGCGCGCGCTAATAGCCTGCCCCTGGACTTCATGAGGAACCGGTGCCGCTTCTACAATACGCGCGACTTGGCCGACATCACGGGCGTCCCCCCGCAAGGCGTGAACGTCCACGGCTTGTTCATGGAGGGGGCCGGTTGGGAAGATGGTAAGGGCGAAGACGAGGGATATATCACGGAGAGCAAGATGAAGGATTTGCACCCGTTGATGCCCATCTGCAACGTCTTCGCGGTGCACATCGATGAGATGAGCTGGGCCGCGATGTACCACTGCCCGCTGTTCTCTACCACCCTGCGCGGGGCCACCTTCATCACCCAGACGAATGTCCGCATGGACCCAGACGACACAGAGACCCGCTGGATCCTGGCTGGCGCTGCGCTGCTCACACAGGACGACTGATCGAGCAGCAGGATCTGGGTGCGTGGGGTTGAGGTCAGGCAGTCTGACGTCCGCCCTGCTGGCACCCTGGCGTCCGGCGCTTTTTTTCGGGACGGACCGCGACAGTGTGTGCACAGTGCGGGGTGTCTTTTTTGTCTTTGCAGGACGAAGGGCATTTCTTCAGGAGGCGTCCACTACGCAAGCGTATGTCTTGCCTCCTGGCTCCTGGGCTTGGCCTTCCTATCAAAAGGTCCAGGCCGTTTTTGCAGCTGCCGCGCCTGCCGCTGCCAGATCCATGCGCGGATTTAGAGCCAGCTTTACCACGTCTTCGGCGTGCTCGTCTTGCGCGAGGGGGCCCGACCGTTTGCGGGTCCTCTGGTGCTTGCGCATTGTTGGTCGGGATCGCTCCGAGCAGCCGAGGAGCTCACCAGCCAAGGGATGAGGGAGAGCGCAAGGGACGGAGGGCGGTGAGGCCGGGCAGAAGACGTCCTCCTGGAGGCCTCCGCAGCCAGCCTGGAGCGTGGCGTCCTGCCAGATTCAGGTGCCGCATGATATTTCAGGTGCTGACTTTAGGTCGGGCACGTCCCTCTTCAGGAGGAATATGCAAACACAGTCCAAACAGAGCCTGGGGACGATTTTTCTGGTATTTCTCGGCTGTGTCTGGGTGTTTTTTGACTATTCCTCAATTTTCGTCCAACACCCGCCTGTAGGAGGACATGCCCGACCTAAATCCAGGGCCCCAAACTTCTTCCGTCTTTCGAGGCGTACGCATTTTCCCGAGAGCGGCTCCAGCCCTCCGCGAACCGCTCCGGGCGCAATGGTCTTGAATATGTGAATGCATGCGATGGCCATCGCTAGTGATCTGACCTAGAAGCCGCGCCGATGCAGGCTCGTCCGCGGCTCTGCCTTTCCGTCCCCGTCTCCTGCCCCTGCTCCCTCTTCACGGCAACCGCAATGCACAACAGCGAAGGGTGATAAAGCAGCAGCAGAGAGAGAGCGGCAGCAAGCGATCGCCAGCACCACGAGGATGGGGGAGCCCACCTGCTGCCTACACTCGAATCCTGTCCACCCGGAGGGGGGTCTGAGAAGCTGCACCTGGCCCCTGTTCTGGGATCAGCAACCGGGGCAATCGATTGCTCGGGGGCCCAATCGCGGGCGAAAGCAACCGCTTCGGCCAAACGCCTCCCTGCTCCCATTGGTGCTCCTCCTCGCCTCCTCGCCTCTCCCTGGGCGCACGCAGCGCCAACTGGAGTTATATGGTCGGAGGCCTACCGGCTTGGCACCACCAACCATACCGGCGGCGTGTCTCCACCGAGGGAAGATGCTCACCAATTCGGTGATGGTGGTAATCTTCGGGCTTTTCTAGGTGGCCGACGTATTACCACACAAACACCGAAATCTAGGATCAGCTTCCCCCTGTGGAGGCAACCCCTTGTGTTGGTGTTGGTGCCCTTGTCCAGGACTCCCACACCGCTGTTGGCGTGAAAAACGCCCATCTGGAAACGACACCGCGAAGTGCCCGCCCCCGGACCGGACCCCGCATTCCAATGTCGCGTTCGCGGCCGCTGTCGGTGTGCAAGCATCGGCATACAAAAAACGCCCAGATCTTCACCGCCGAGGCAGCCCCGTTTTCAACACTGTCATCGGGGGCACGGGGGTCCCTTGGCACACCAGCGTTGACCTTTACGCCTTGTGGGCGTTTTTCACGCCAAGGGCGGTGTGGCACTGGGCTCTGGGAGTGCAGCGTGCACCCGCGACGCTCGGCGGCCGCCAGGAGGCTGTGCTCGGCCCCCCACGGGGGCCCGCGCTCCTCGCCAGGCGGACGGCCGGACCTCGGCGGTGCTCTGCATTCCTCGGTGGCGCCAGCGGCCCTTGCACGAGGCTCAGCTCTCTCCTCCTGCTCCTCCTCCTGCTCCTGCGCCTGCTCCTGCTCCTGCTCCTCCTCCTCCTCCTCCTCCTCCTACTCCTCCTGCTCCTGCTCCTGCTCCTCCTGCTCCTGCTCCTCCTCCTCCTCCTCCTCCTCCTCCTCCTCCTCCTTCTCCTCCTTCTCCTCCTCCTCCTCCTCTTCCTCCTCCTCCTCCTCCTCCTCCTCCTCCTCCTCCTCCTCCTCCTCCTCCTCCTCCTCCTCCCCCTCCTCCTCCCTCTTGCTCCCTTTCCTCCTCCTGCTTCTCCTCCTCCTCTTTCGCGGGTTGCCAGAAGTACCCCTGGCTCAAGGTGCCACCAGGATTTCCAAAGCGGCCCCTATGGCCTCCAGAGTACCCCTCGCGAGGCCTCAGGGGGCCCCACGTGTTCCAAAATGGAGCGAGAAGCTGGGGGCATCTTGTGCCAGCGACACCTTTTTTAGCAACCCCCGACTCTTCGTCGTCCTCTGAGCGGCCAGGTGGCAGTCGTCGCTTCACGCCCGAGGGCCGCCATGGAGACGCTCTGCCCTTGCCGTTGCGCGCAACCGTTGCTGCTGCAGCGCGCGAGGGCGCCTCCTGGAGCCCTCGGACCGGCGGGCCCAGAGGCGGTCTCGCCCGCCGTCGCGGCCAGCCTGAATTTCGCCGCATATGCCGGTCCGGAGGTGGGCGCTGGCCCGCTGGCGAGGCGCGGTGCAAGACGCATGCCGCACCGTGGTCGCTGCAGAAGCGGCGCCTCCCGCTCCTCGCCCCTCCTCGGCCTCTGGCCCGGCCGTGCGCGCCCCTCGGACCACAGGCTGCAGCGTGTTGCATCGAGTCATCGTTGAGCCCGCCGGGCCAGAGTCACGGCGAGCCCAGAGGAGGAGGCGAGCACGCAAATCTAGGCAGCAGTGCGTGTTCGGGGGTGCGGCCTCGAGTCGCTCGTGGCTAAACAGTTTGGCCTTTTTTGGGCCGCTTTGGTGCCTTCTTGCGGCCTTCTTGGGGGCTATTGGTTTTCTCTCGGGTGACCATTGGACAGGCTGCTCGACTGCGCCCCAGGGCGTACGATTGTTTTCACGAGTGACCGAAGAACACCTCCAGCTCCCCTCGTCAGTATCGTATGGACGCGTGCCGCAGCCGAACCCTGAAATCGGGCATGTCCCTCTACAGGAGGCATATCCAAAAATAATGAAGCAATCGTCAGGGGACGATGTTTTGACCATTTCTGGTAATTTCTCAATATTTTGGGACGATTTTTGCATTTTCGTCCAAAATCCGCCTATAGGAGGACATGCCCGACCTAACCGAACCCTCAGAAAGAGACAGAAAAGCAGATCTACGAATCAGCGACTGCTCGGAGGTCGTCGATACCCTTGTGGTGCAACGCGTGAACCGCCGAGGCCCGGCTGGGTCTGTTGAGGCCTCGTTGGGCAGTTCTCGGCCTCTCCTGCTGCCTCAGACCATAAGCACCCCCGCCCCTCAGACCTTCCTCTTCCTCCGTCTTCATCGTCGTCCTTCCCGTCTGGCCACCTCTTGAAGAGGAGCTGTCTACCCTTCCAGATGTGGGAGTCTTCGATCAATATCGGTCCATGAGAGCCCCGGGGCCCGAAACGTAGCGAATTTGCGCGTCGTGACCTTTCTCGATGGCAGAGGCCGAGGAGGAGGAGGAGGAGCAGGAGGAGGAGGAGGAGGAGGAGGGCTTTCCTCTTCCGCTTGTCCTGCCCTCTCTCGGCTCCCTCCGGCTCTCCTCTCCCGCTCCTGCTCCGCTCGTTCCCTAACGCTCCTGGCTCTTCTCTTGTCCCTCCCTCCCTGGGTTCGCGCCCCCCGTTGCCCTTGGCCTTCGGTCTGCGCGCGCCCCTCTGCACTCCTTCCGCCTGTCTCCCTCGGGCGGTGCGTGTCCTCTCTCGCTGCCCACTGCGACGGTGCCGGCTTGCGCTCGCGGTGCGGCCTGCGGAGGCAGAGAGGAGGATGAGGATGAGGATGGTGAGGATGAGGATGATGAGGATGGTGAGGATGATGATGATGATGATGATGATGATGATGATGATGATGATGATGATGATGATGATCATGCTGCTGCTGCTGATGATGATGATGATGATGATCATGATGAGGAGGATCAGGATGGTGATGATGGTGATGATGATGCTGCTGATGATGATGATGATCATGCTGCTGCTGATGATGATGAGGAGGATGAGGATGGTGATGATGGTGACCATGATGATGATGATGATGATGATGATGATGATGATGATGATGACGATGATGATGCTGATGATGATGGTGACCACGATGATGCTGATGCTGATGCTTATGCTGATGATGATGATGATGATGATGATGATGACGATGATGATTATGCTGATGCTGATGCTGATGCTGATGCTGATGACGATGATGATGATGATGATGATGATGATGATGATGATGATGATGATGATGATGATGATGATGATGATGATGATGATGATGCTGATGATGATGATGATGATCATGATGATGATTATGATGATGATGATGATGCTGATGATGATGATGATGATGATGATGATGATGATGATGAGGAGGAGGAGGAGGAGGAGGAGGAGGAGGACGAGGATTGTCGCTTTGCTTGTTAGGATCGTTCCCCTCGACCAGTATTGGAGGCGTGGATCGCACATCACCTTCGACGCTCGTGCTTCGGAAGGCTTCCAGCGAGCCCGTCTGCGACGAGTCCTTAGAACCCGCGGCCGCTCTCGAGGGGGTCCACGAGGGACCCCGAGCTCCGCCGTCGGCGCTTCGTCGCGCCCTGCGTGGCCAAGGTCGCGCCCTGCCGCGCCGGCGCTGGCCGGCCGTGGCATGCGGGGCGCCGGCGGAGGCGTGGACGGGGGCGCCCGGCGCCTCGTGGGCCTGAACCCCCTGGGCGCCCTCGTGGTTGCATCGGGGGAGAAAAAGATACGGATACGTGTTGTCCCCCTTCGTTTTCGGCCTTTCCTGGTCCTCCTGGGGAATCCTCGTTGTCACCGCTGGATTCGCCTCGAAATTCTGGTCAGAACGCACCCCAAGAGAGGTCCGGGGACAACACGTATCCGTATCTTTCCGCCCCCCAAGTTGCAAGTGAAGGAAGCCTTCCAGGTATAGCTCGCAGTGTTGTGGACAGGGGCAGTGGCACCGGGGGCAGGCAGCGGCGATGCCAGGGGCATGGGCGGCGATTGGCACCAGGAGACAGAGTGCGAGGTGCCCATCTGCTTCTGGCCCCGCACTTTCGGACGAAGGTGCGTTCGGGAGGTGTGGCATGGCCCATTCTTGCCAGGAGTGCCTGGGGCTGCGCCCGCAGTGCGAGCGCGCTGAACGGCGACCCCGCGCGCCGCGCGAGGGGGCCCTGACCTTCGCGGGCGCCGACGCTGGGGTGCCTGGGAAGTCACATGCGACTGCGCCAGCGCCGCAGGTGAAGCGTCTGTCCACGGCAGCAGCGCGGCCCTCAGGAAGGGGGCGCAGCCGCCATTGATCGCGGAACAGGGATTGTCGCGAGGGCCGCTGGCGTCGCACCGCCGTCGCCAGCCGTCGCTGTCTCCGTCCAGCCGTCCGACGGGGCCCCCCCCGCCTCCTCCCGCAGTCGCGCGGAAGGCGTCCTCGTCTCGCCGCGCTGCTTTCGAGATACTTCGGCGCCCTTGCACGGGTGCCCTTGCTGCCTGGGTCTGCGCGCATCGGCGGAGGCCTCGCGAAAGTCGGGCTGCCTGCCTCCAGGTGGCAGTGCCCATTCGCCACTTGCGCGCGGGGCGGCCGCCAGTGCGCGATCAGGAAGTTCCGCCAGCACGTGCTCGAGAACCCCAACCCCCTGGGGCAGCTCCATGAGCGGTGGTGCCGGGAGGAGGAGATGGAGGAGGAGGAGAAGGAGGAGGAGGAGGAGGAGGAGGAGGAGGAGGAGGAGGAGGAAGAGATGGAGGAGGGGGGGGGAGGAGGAGGAGGAGGGGGGGAGGAGGAGGGCGATCCTGTGCCACGGCGGCCCTCGGGGCCGCTGCCGCGCCGACGTGCTGATCAGGGACTGCTCGGAGCGCGCGGAGCCCGACTGCGCGCCATCCACGGCCCGACGTCCGACCCGGGTGGACATCGGCGCCCCTCTAAGTCCCGCGCGGGCACGGGCTGGCTTGGCATTGGATCGCCCGCATCGGTGGGCTTCCAGAGGCGGCGGCGGCTTGTGCTCGCGGGGTCACCTGGCGCCGGCTGACCGCAGCTGATGGGCTTGTTTTCCACCACCACCACCATAAGTTGGAGGGGAGAAGGAGGTGGAGGATGAGGATGGGGAGGAGGAGGAGGAGGAGGAGGAGGAGGAGGAGGAGGAGGAGGAGGAGGACCCCCTCCCCTACAACTTACGGTGGTGGTGGTGGAAAACAGGCCCATCAGCAGCTGCGCAGACGCTGGCAAGCTGCGACCTGAGGTCCTGGACAATATCGTCTGCGGTGCAGAGTCCGAGCGTGGCGACGGCGATTGGCGCCGCCTCGTTTGCGCGCTTGCCTGCTCGCGTGCCGATGCCGGCCTCGTCGACGGCCTCGAAGCCCGCGCGAAGAGCGCGCTCGTGGATGTCCGCGGCCGCGAGCGGAAACCCCAAGCGGGGCGGTGTCGCGAACCGCTCTGCCGCCAGCGTCGGCTTCGAGCTGCTCGGCGCGGTCGGCGCGCGCCTGGGTGAGCTGGGCGCCGAGGTCAGGGTCGGGCGCCGCGCGGACGTTCCCCCCCCCCCCCCTGGACGGCGCGGGCAGCTTCCCCGCGCGCCGCTGCCTTCGAGAGGGGGGCGCACGGGGCGCCGCGCGTCGGCAGCGAGGGCGGGCCCAGGGAGTGGGACGGGAGCTGCGTGCTGCGCGCGCAGAGCCTCCGAGTGTGTGTGTCCTGGTGTCTCGGTGCCTTGCGTGGTCTGCTCGCTGGTCGTCGTCGTCGTCGTCGGCGTCGTCGCCGTGGTCGTCGTCGTCGTCGTCGTCGTCGTCGTCGTCGTCGTCGTCGTAGTCGTCGTCGTCGTCGTCGTCGTCGTCGTCTCTCTCTCTCTCTCTCTGCGTCTCGTGTCGAGCGCGCGTGCAGTGCTAGCCCCGAGCTAGGCGACGTCGTTGGCCCTCGTGAAGTCTCCTTGTGCGATCGAGACGAAGTTGGCCGTCGCGGGGATCGCTCAAGGAATGATCTAGCGATTCCGAGGCACTGGAGGCACGTGCAGCCGGCGTGGCCCTTCGCAAGAAGTCTAGCATTTTGGGGGGCCCATCGCGCGCAGATCTGGACGGGGGACCTGCCTGCGCCATTTTTTTGGTTTCGGGCTGTCTTCAGCTCCCTGGTGCGCAAGCTCCCTGCGACCTCGGCAGTGGCATTTTTTTTTGGAGGGGAATCGTGCCTGCGCTCCCTGGAGAGTCGGTGCGTTCGACCAGTCCTCGAACGCGTCCCTGCGGCTCCGTCCGTCACGTTTTGGATGATCGAGTTCGACGAGTTTTAGGGAGACGTTCGGTGCGCGGGCGACTCTGCAGCAGGCCCCGATGGAATGCCCTACTCTGGATGGACTCGCGCCGGCGATGATAACGTTTTCTCTTGCAACCTATCCCTGCGCATCATCGAAGTTGGTGCTGTGCGTCCTGTTTTGCAAAGGACTTGCGCCATGTTTCTTGCCGGGGACTCCAGGCGTTGGTACATGGTAATCGTTGCGCGTGGCTGCCCTGGTTTGCGACGGGTCGACTCCCCTAGGGCCAACAACAAGCTCATTTGTCAAGCCTTCAGTTG